CGCTGCTACTCTTGCTTTTTTCCCCTCCCAAATGAAGGTGTTAATGGTATGTTTTTGAGGTATTGCTTCGGTAGAGGTATTTGTAGCGTACGAAAAAGATATTGGATTTTATGTATTAGCGACATTTTTACCGCTGCTATGCGGCCCGTCCATGATAGGAACTTTCCCTTCCATGCCTGCATGGAGTCTGTGAATTATTTATGCATACGCACATAGTTGTGGTGGAATAGTTTAGCAGGGTTTTTTGTAAGTTTGAGACCCAGAAAAGTCAGGTGGTCATGTCTCCAGTCTAGGGGGAATGCATTGCTCAGTCTGGCCATGAGGTTTTCGTTTATGTGCATCCCCAATGCTAGCGTCTTGGTGACATTCAATTTATAATAGGAAACTGCGCCGTATGTTTCAATGTGTGACATCAGGTTTGGTAAGGAGATCAGGGGCTGTGTGAGTGTAACTAGGATGTCATCTGCAAATAGGTTAAGCTTATACTCCCTATCTCCTAGGGTGATGCCCTGTATGGATGGTTCTGCCCGTATTGACGCTGCTAATGGTTCCAGTGCTAAAATGTATAATAGTGGGGACAGAGGGCATCCCTGCCTGGACCCGTTCGTTATAGTGATTTGTTTGGATATGAATCCTGCATTAAGTACCTTTGCAATGGGATGTGAGTATAGTGCCCTTACCGCGTTTATGAATGGTCTGGGAAATTTGTATTTCTGGAGCACCGCCTTCAGGAAAGGCCAATTAAGGCGATCAAAGGCCTTTTCTGCATCCAGCGAGAGCAGGACTCCCTCTGTCTGGCCTCTTTTTAGGCTGTGCATGAGGTTGATCAGTTTCCTCGTATTGTCTGATCCCTGTCTGCCTGTGGTAAAGCCCACCTGGTCATCATGTATCAGTGTGGGGAGAATGTGTTTCAGCCTGGTTGCCTGTATTTTAGTGTATATTTTTGCGTCAGTGTTGAGTAGTGATATTCACCTGTAGTTTTGGCTGCTTGTGGGTGGTTTTCCTGGTTTTGGCAGCGTTATGATGTGGGCAACTAGCATGTCCGCCGGGGCTTCTGCTTTATAGGTGATGGCATTAAAGATGTTTACTATGTGTGGTGCAAGGGTGGTGGCAAATTTTTTATAATTTGCATTGGTGAGCCCGTCGGGTCCCGGTGCTTTCCTATTTGGGAGGCACGCTATGACATGTAGGACTTCTTCCTCCGTGATAGAGGCCTGTAGGCTCTCCCTCTGTACCTCATTTAGACTCGGCAGAGTGACTCCCTCTAGATATTGTTCTATTTTTGTTTGCGATGGCTGGGGGGTGTTTGGGTCCTGTCTCAGGTTGTACAAGGTTGTGTAATAATCAGCGAATACATCACTGATGTCCTTGCGTGTTACCCTTTTTTCCCCTTCCGAATTCAGAATGTATGGGATTTTTGATTGTGCGTTCCTGTGTGATAGTCTCCTTGCTAGTAGTTTGCTCGCTCTATTCCCCTGAGTGTAGTGTGCTGCCTGGAGTTTCCGCATGGTGAATCCCAGTTTTACTAGGTCATACTTTTTACCTTCGTCTATGACTAGTCTGATTTGTTCTTTTAGTTGCGGGGTTGGTGCTAGTTGGTTCTGTCTATTTAGGTTGTACAAGGTAGTCAGCCATTCCTTTCTTTTTATTTGGGTTGCTCGTTTTAGTGCACTAGCTTTCCCTATAAGGAGTCCCCTTATGACTGGTTTGTGAGCTTGCCACACTGTCTCTGGCGTGATATCTGGGGTTTGGTTCGTGGCGAAAAAGTGGGAGAGGTCGACTTTTACTGTGTCGCAGTATTGTGGGTCTGTTAGTAGAGACTCATTTAGTCTCCACGGGCTGCGGTGTTTGTAATCGTATGTATCACAGAGTTCTAGGGTTATTGGGGCATGATCGACCACATTATCGTGCCTATGGAACAGCCTGTGATGTGATTGAGGTATGTGCCCTTTATATAGTACCCGTCGATTCGCGAATATGTGTTATGCACCTGAGAGAAGAAGGTGTAGTCCCTCTCCCCAGGCTGCACCCTCCATGCATCATAATAGTCATGTTCTCTGAGCAAGCGTGTTAGTGGCTTACATTCCCTCTGGAGGGTAGCTGATCTGGGGGTGTTAGGCTGCACTGTGGTATCCATCTTGGGGTCCAATATATGGTTGAAATCACCACAGATGGTGCTGTGTGTGGGGGGCTAGGGGTGGGGAGGGATGCTGGTAACGCGCGTCAACGCTCCACACAGCTTGCTCGCGGGAGGGCAGGGGAGCTGCTTCACAGATCCCTCCCCCTGCCTCCCGACACGGAAGCAGAGTAGGCGCCTGCCGTTTTGGGCAGGCAGGTGCCTACTCTGCATTGATGGCGAACCTATGGCCGCGTGCCCACAGAAAGGGCCCGGCATGCCACCTGTGGCACGCGTGCCATAGGTTCGCCATCACTGTTCTATATCATCCTCTGAGGGGGCATTAGGTACAGCAGGATACATTGCTTTATAGGGAGGTGGGGGTTGTGGTTGGGCATGGCCAGGGACTGACTGGGTAGGGGGCACAATTGGTGGTGGATATGGATTCTCAGGAGGGGCTTCTATGGGAAAGCGGATGGTATTACTGTCAACAGTTCCCTTTCTCTTAGCCAGGTCTTTCTTAGCTTCCTTTAAAACCTTTCCCATTACACTACAAGGAAACCAATGAGGGGCTATCTGCAACCAATTTTCACCTCCTGCTTTCATATATTCCTTATCCCAATCTGGATCAGGACCATACCACGGCCATGACTTCCTATCTCCCAAACACAATCCTCGAATCATATTCATATGGAAATCATCATTAGCCCCACACATGGGAAAAAGATCAAATGACTTCATAGTCTCTGTCCATCCTGCTAAATTTGACGCAAAGGGGATTGTAAGAAATCCTCCTTGTGCTCCTATTCTAGTAACATAATTTAGACATGACTCCCCTGGGTGGGGTAAAGGGCCATATTTCTGGCTCAGGGTAGAGACACTACCTACTTACTAGCAAGCAAAATAAACACAAAGCAGACACAGGGTGACCAGAGGAATGAGAAGTTTGGGTTATTCTAGATCTATAAACTGTGTTTCCTAGAACACCTATAGTCTTAATAAACCGGAGACTCCTTTATAGTCTCAAAACCTGTATCTACCTGAGATACCCTGTATCTATCTTAGATACTAACCTGGGTTACCAAGAACCCTATACTAGACCATCTGTCCAGTAAAAACCGGAGACCTATTTACAGTCTCAATATAACTAAAGTCTTTACACCTTTCCTATCTACTGGATACAGACTTACTGAACCAAAGGGGGTCATAGACAATCAGAGTCAATAAGACACTAAAAGGCTACTTACCCAATGACTTTGCTGATCCCACTTCAAACACCACGCTGAAAGGGTTAATGCTGTTCTGGACTCAACCCCCTCGATTCTCCGGTCACCACATCAATTGACGGGAGTTCTTGTTTAGCAAATTAAGACACAGACACGAAAGAGTACTTAACAAGTTCTCAGTGAGTATATTTTCAGGGCTAGCATTTATACGCAGTTTGTCACGCAAGCAGCGATATTTATCGTTTCCTTGTAGTTAATAGTACCTACGTGTCTGACATTAAAAGATAAGCATTTGAATAAAGACGGGACAGGAACATCCTGAGGTCGAGCGAGGTCATACATCCTGTAGAAGGGAGGCCTCTCAAAGCATGTTACAGAATACATCTGCCAAGGTCAGCATAATTATTTCAAACATTATTTTAAAGCATATAAAACAAAAAGAGTTAACTATTTCATATGCTTACAGGGCACCCATGCAAAATTGTAAGCCGTGTGAAGAGATGGGCGCGTAACATCGAACAACATCAAAATCAAGGTTCGGAATGCAAAATCCCAGCCATAACTGTTTATGTAGGCTTATAGTTGAATGGATTCTGAACCCAGCTCAATAAATACACTTTTATTAAAGCCACGCCACAATGTCTTTCATTCAGAGTAATTTGCACGAGAAAAGATCTGTGTGACTCATGTTAGTGTCAATTAAATATTCTTGGGAGGCTGATTTAATGAGATGATTTTCCAATTTATTCAGAAACTGTATACTTATTTAAAAAATGTGTATTAGGTGAGATTTTATAACATTAGTTCAGCTTTGTATATGTGTAATATTAACTGCGTTGGTTCATTTATCTCTCATATGTATTCTCATTGTAAAGGTAAGGATTAGGTGAATAGGGCTGGGCTAGTACTATGGTTTAGTAATTAAGGCTAGGTAAGTGGTTATATCCCATTGTACAGTGCTACGGAATCTGATGGCGCTATATAAATAATAAAATAATAATAATAATCAGGGTTTAGTGATTACGTTTAGATAAGTAGAAAAAAACAAAACAAAAAACTGATTTGCGCCAAGTATAAATTGAAATAAGTATGGATGTATATGTATATATATATAAATACAGTAAAACCAAATAGTGATAGAAATAACCTAGATATACTTAAAAAGTCCCAGAGGAATAAAACAAGGGTCTTTTTTTATATAAGCCTTTGAAGAAGTGATGCTTTAGTGTAGTTCAGTCACAGGTTCTCCTTGGCGTTTAAATAAATTAGGTTTTGATTAAGGTAGGGAGTTTTGTTATTGGGATCTCATGTAAAATATAAGCAGAAACGAAAAACCGATGGTGCAACCCAGTATGTTCAATATCTCAATAATGTGAAGAAAAAGAATACACTCACAAGGATAGAGCCTCCAATCAGCTTGTAGATAAGGCTCTGCGTGGCAGGAGTGCGGCAGGAGCTGCGCGCGCATTCAGCCAGTCTCATAGGAAAGCATTCATAATGCTTTCCTATGGACGCTGGCTTCTTCTCACTGTGATTTTCACAGTGAGAAGCACGCAAACGCCTCTAGCGGCTGTCAATGAGACAGCCACTAGAGGCTTTAGAGGCTGGATTAACCTATTTATGAACATAGCAGTTTCTCTGAAACTGCTATGTTTATAAAAAAAAAAAAGGGGTTAATCCTAGAGGGACCTGGCACCCAGATCACTTCATTAAGCTGAAGCCGTGTGAAGAGATGGGCACGTAACATCGTACAACATCAGTGTAAAGGTTCGGAATGCTAAGTATTTTTCTTTCTCTTCAGTAAATTTGGGGTTTCACGAGTGGCACATATCTACTAAGCTGCGCAAGAAGTGCTTCTAGTTTATGTTTTTGCTGCTGATTGAACAATGTTTAGTGATAAATATTTCTGTTTTTGGGGTGCCCACATTACACTGTGAATTATTAATGGATTATGATCACTGAAAGAAGACATTCTGCATTAAAGCATGATGGTGGTGCTAGTTCTCACACAGCTAGAGATGTATTTTGTTTTTTTTGTGCAAAATATCACTCATTTATCATGTAGGCAGGAACCGAGTGCTGAGTACACTGTGAGTCAACACTGAGATCTAGCACTGACAGTGAGCGGAACCAATCTCGGCGCTCTCTGTCCCGGGGGGAAAGAAAGAGAGAGCACACCGTCCCGGAAGTAAACAGGAAGTTGTTTTCAGATGTGGATTTAATTCGGTTCCCCTGGAAATGGCAGCTCGCACGGTGCTGGCGGCCCTGCTTTACTCCGGGGCAGCTTTACTGCTACTGGTATCGGCGGATGATCCGGTGGAGAAGGTGAGACCCCCTCCATCCCAGTAATGGCAGCAACGGGGGATCATCGATATTACCATCATAATATCATCCTGCCATCTCTCTATGGGGAGGGAGGGGGGGGGGGGTATAATATAATTATTACCATCATATCATCCTGCCATCTCTCTATGGGGAGGGGGTATAATATAATATCATTATTACCATCATAATATCATCCTGCCATCTCTGTATGGGGAGGGGGTATAATATAATATCATTATTACCATCATAATATCATCCTGCTATCTCTCTATGGGGAGGGGGTATAATATAATATCATTATTACCATCATAATATCTTCCTGCCATCTCTCTATGGGGAGGGGTATAATATAATATCATTATTACCATCATAATATCATCCTGCCATCTCTCTATGGGGAGGGGGTATAATATAATATCATTATTACCATCATAATATCATCCTGCCATCCCTCTATGGGGAGGGGGTATAATATCATTATTACCATCATAATATCATCCTGTCATCTCTCTATGGGGACGGGGGTATAATATAATATCAATATTACCATCGTAATATCACCCTGCCTACTCTCTATGGGGAGGGGGTATAATATAATATCAATATTACCATCATAATATCATCCTGCCATCTCTCTGTGGGAGGGGGGTTATAATATTATATCATCATTATAACCATCATAATATCATCCTGCCATCTCTCTATGGGGGGGGGTATAATATCATTATTACCATCATAATATCATCATGCCATCTCTCTGTGGGGAGGGGGGGTTATTATCGTGTTTTTTTTTCATACTTTTGCTGTTAAATAAGCTCTGAGTTATAATTACTGAAGCTAGAATCTTGCTTTTCCTATTCAATTCTGTATGACGTTATATCATAACATACAACTTGTTTTATACGTGCTGATAGACAGCACATGAAAAGTGCTTCCTGGAATTTGTAGCACTCCCATATAGGGGTAAAACTAATCACAGAAGCTCCTTTGAGAATTCTCCATAATGAATCAATTTATCATATTAGGAGTATACATGTTCTGCATACTGTAGGGCAGGACTTGTACAGATGACAAGGGTCCAGGGAAACATGACGCATGTAGGTGGTTGAACTGCAGCTTGTAGTGAGTGAGATATAAAACACTCTTGGCACTGTGCTTGACAGGTGGATTGTGTTACTAATGTGAGTTATAAACAGCAAGTTTCTAATGTAATTGTCATTTTAGGATATAAGTGGGGAGAGGTGCCCCTAAAACAGTTAATTTGCACTGAGAGCGTCAGTGATGCCCCGCATGCTCAGTTGTAGCTCAGTGGCACTAACTGGGAGCTCCTTTGCGGCGGAGGGACCCAGGTAAATTGTCAAATTATTCATGAACAGATTGACAGCTTACTCTGGGGGGGCGTGGCTTGGACGTCGACCAGAATGGTAGCATAAGTTGTGAGCTCCGCTCCACCGGTCCTTATTGAGCCCTATTAATCAGCCTACTTTTGCCTCTATGGGTCGGAACCGCCGGGGTGACCCTCCCGGGACCCCCAGGGGATCCCAGAACAGTCAGTTGCTTGGTCCGATGGACGGATTTCTACAAACGCCGGCGGACGCACGAGAAGAGGCCGGAGGCTCCAAGATGACGGCCGCCTCCCAACCGCATGGGGACCCCCCTACCTCTACCCTGGAGGGCATCGGTGAGGAGCTCCGCACGATTGCGGCTTCTATGGCCACGAAAGCTGACCTTTTGGTCCTCACCACCACGATCCAGGACGCATTGCGGGCCGAAATGGCGGGACTCCGAACGGAGGTATCCGCACAGGGGAGTCGTATCCAGGACTTAGAGCACTCCCGCGAGGCTCACTACTGACACGGCCCTGTCACGGCAAGGTGACCTGCTACTACAATTGCGAAGATCGGTGGAAGATCTCGACAACCGTAGCCGCAGATGTAACATCCGCATACGCGGCATGCCGGAGGCGGAGGGCGATGAGAACTTAGACGAAATTCTAACAGCACTCTTCCGCATGGTCCTACCCAGAGATGCCCCGCTGGAACTCCGCTATGATAGGGCGCACAGAGCCCTGCGACCTCGCTCCCTCAAGGACGGCCCACGTGATATTATTTGCTGCATCCACTCGTTTGCCACGAAGGATGCCATAATGAAGGCGGCCAGAGCACAACCTACATGGGACTTTCGCGGCACGCCTGTCTCATTGTTTAACGATTTGTCTCCAACTACCTTAGAAGCCAGGCGCGCGCTGCGCCCTATCACATCTCTGCTCAGGACTCGCAATATTCCCTACAAGTGGGGCTTTCCATTTGCCCTGTCGGCAAGACACCGAAATGGCTGGGTGTCACTCCGCGGGCCGGAGGAAGCCCCCGGTTTCTTGGAAGCGCTAGACCTCCCACCTATCCAGATACCGGATTGGGTCCTGGGCCCCCTGGGGGCAGGCCAGAGGCCGCAACGAGAACCCCGCCGCCGCAGAGGCCGATCACCACCGGAGCCTGCTCACCGTGACCGCGAGGCATGAGGAGGCCAGGTCTGAGGACCACCTCCCCGCCGCTCCACTGCTCAGGTACCACCATTCTGCCCTACAGCACCCTGGGACTGGCCGCTGGTGCGGTGCCTCTCTCCCCCACTTCTCCCCCTGTGACACGTAAGGGCACGCCACGACCCACACAAGATTAATATCGGGAGGAGGTCCCGCTTACTTGCACCTTGGGTGGGCCGTGGGGTGATTTGGAATGTCCCCTCTCTGTTACCTGAGCTCCTCAAGCGGGCACTGCATCCGGACTGCACGCAGAACGGGACCTTTTTTTTATTTTTTATTTTTTTCCTCTCTCCCCTGCCCTCATAATATGTACCTGGGCTCCTGACTACTGACTTCGCACCCCAGGCAACCGCTATGGGATCCCCATCTGAGATCTTGGGGTGGGGGGAACCGGGGATGACAATGGGCACACTGCTCCTTGCTGCACAGGGGAGCTCGGACATCTTGCTTTAGCAATGCACGCATCGGGGTGAGGATTGGAGACTCCTTCAATGGACACCACTAACTCTAGCTGAACGCAGTATTGCAATGATTGGCCCAGAGGGTCCCCTTGCTCTGATAAGTACCGTATTCTATGATATGTGTGGGTTCTACCTAGTATGTGAAAGCTCATAGCACAATGTGACGAGGGGAGAGGACGAAGGGGGGAACGAGGACATTCAGTATTGCGTTTGGGGGGGTGGGGAGAGGAGTGATGGACAGGGGAGAGGAGGGACGGAGGAAGGGGGGAGACGGGGAGGAAAGGGGGACGGTAATGAAGAGGAGAAAGGCAAGGGGGAAGAAGAGGGAGAGAGGGAAGAGGAGGAAGAGGGGGAAAGGAGAGGGGAAGTGAGGAAGAGGGGGAGAGGAGGAAAGAGAGGTGAAAGGGAGAAGAGAGAGCATAACCCCAAAACTTATAAACAAAGATGAAAATAAAAAAGGGGAGGGAAAAGAGAAGAAAAAACTTCAATGAGTCAGCAGGGGTTGGGAGGAGGGATATCGACCTGTTCACGGAAGACTCTTAGCCCAGGCCCATGGGGCCTATCCTAAGTGCCTATGCCCTACCTGACTACGACATCCACACAGGGGTGCGCTGGGGAAGGGGGGATGGCGGTAATACACTCATTTGGTCTGGCTAATCAGATCGTCCCCGGCACCGCACACCCACGGGTTTCTGGGAGCTGATTGAGGGGACGGGGGGGGACGCGGTTGGTGCCTGCGCGCTGTCCCGGGATGTTGGAATGGGGTAGATGCAGAGCAGGAAGACACACGGGGAGGCTGGCGGGAACTGTATTATCACTGGATGGTACGCTTGTTATAATTGTTATATTTGTTCATGCATTAACCCCTCTGTTGAAGTTAAGTTGCCTCCTTATTGGCTCGACCTAATCACTCAGATCTTTGTGCACCTGGGCATGGACTCGGATGGAGCCGGTCAGACCGGACTATATCTTACTCACTCACAATATACCTACCCTGGTATAGACACCAACCACTGCCTTACATACTAGCTTGCGCGTAACTCCCGGTGGAGCCACAGGCGCACCCACACGCCGATCAGGTTATCGCGTGTGACGCCTGGCCACTCCTACTGGGGCGCAAGTATCTCTCCTTTTGAAGGAGGCTCCGGGGCGCTCCCACCCTTTGACCCCGCAGGGTACATACCCGAAGGGGGGCCCGACTTGCCCACCCTTATTTTAACTGTTCTTTTTTTTCTTTTTTGACTTTGGACTTTTTCAATCACCTTATTCGCTTGCTATACAGACGTACACACACACACTCACTGGTACTCACTCTACCCTTTCCCCACCACCACATTTCACACACAGGCCTGGTTCGGACACCAGCAGGCAACTACCCGAACCGCCCATACGGAGACAATAGCTGACGAGACGCTCGGGTCCCTACCCATACGGAGCCGCGTACGAGACACGCGAACAGACACTAGCCGCATTAAGACATACATCATCGCTGGGCTGCACCGCCGTTCCGGGGCTGGGCGCCGTGCGGTCACATCTCTGGTGGATTTGCGCTGTCTCGGGTGGGCGAGACCATGGCGTACCGCCGCGCCCACATGTCCGTCATGACACTCAACTGCAGGGGATTAAATATTCCGGAACGACGTACACACCTCCTGAGGGTGTTGCGTCAGAAACGCACGTCCATAGCGTTGCTGCAGGAAACTCACTTCAAGGAAGGCGCGGCCCCCAAGCTTCGCAACGCCTATTACCCCCTAAGCTTCTACAACAATCACCCGCTGGCTCGCCAAGCGGTATGGCTATCTTGATAGCGGCAGACCTAGGCTTCCGGGAACTGGACAGAATGGCCGATGACCAAGGACGCTTCCTCTTCCTTAAGGGAGTAATAGCCGACAGAGTGTACACTCTTGCATCCATATATGTGCCTAACTCCAGGCAAGCTCCATTCCTCAGGGGCACGCTACGTAAACTGCAGGGTTTCTCGGAGGGAGCATTGATCGTGGGGGGTGACCTTAATGTCCCTCTGGAACCGCTTATAGACTCATCCACTGGACACTGCTGCCTCCCACAGTCCCATATCAGATCCATACGCAAATCCTTGGGGGAGCTTACACTGGTTGACTGTTGGAGGACAATGCATCCTGCCGATAAAGACTACACCCACTACTCTGCCATACATGACCGCTACTCCCGGATCGATTACATCCTGATTAAACAAGAAGGATTATCTCGACTACGAAAAGCATCTATGGAACCGGCCACGTGGTCAGATCACGGATCGGTCCAGATAGAGCTGGAATCCCCGCTCTTCAAACCGGCGATTCGGACGTGGCGCCTGAACGAATCACTGCTCCAGGATCCCACGGTAAGAAACGAGATCTCCCAAGCGCTGGAACGCTACTTTGAAGAGAATGGGTCGGGGGATATGTCTCCGGTGACTGTGTGGGAGGCCCACAAAAGTGTCATACGCGGCTCTCTTATCGGCATTGCAACCCGCAAGAGGAAGGAGGCCACACGCAATATGACCGAACTTTATGGCACCATATCGCGCCTGGAACTCCAGCACAAACGCTCCCAGATGGTCACGATCTATAGAGATCTCATGGAAGCCAGGCGAAACTTGAAAGCCCTCCTCACACAAAGGTACCTCCGCTCGATGCAAACATCGAAATCCTTTTTCTACACCCACGCGAACAAAGGAGGAAAGTTTCTTGCTCGCCTCCTGAGAGGAGAAATGGCTCGCACTCAGGTGAGGAAACTCCGTCTGACATCCGGCAAGGTCTCTCAGCACCCGGAGGATATAGCCGGGGAATTCCGGGCATATTATAATTCTCTATATAACCTACATTCCCAGGATAGCCCAATTCACAGAAGGGACTCATCGCAACATACTCAGACATACCTACAGGAACACGTAAGGAAAAGGATATCCCCTGAGGCAGCATCCACGTTAGATGACCCAATTACCGCGGAGGAACTTGCGGCAGCCCTAAAAGCCACAAAAACAGGTAAGGCTCCGGGCCCGGATGGGTTCTCCACGGGCTACTACAAAAAGTTTACTGATATCTTACTACCATGGCTGACACAAGCTGTAAATAAAGTGGCAGAGGGGGGAACCTTTGGCGCGGAATCCTTGTCAGCAACAATAACGGTCTTACTCAAACCCGGGAAGGACCCAGAACAGTGCGGCAGCTACCGCCCGATCTCCTTACTAAATGTGGACACAAAGCTCTTCACAAAAGCTCTGGCTTCCAGACTTCAACGGGTCCTACCGAGCCTTGTCCACGTGGATCAGACAGGTTTCATCCTGGGCCGGGAAGCGCGGGACAGCACGCTGCGCCTGTTTTCTATACAACATCACGCCCGGAAATATCAAAAGCGCCTTCTGCTGTTGTCTACGGACGCGGAGAAGGCTTTCGATAGGGTCAATTGGGCATACATGACCCAGGCCCTCCGGCATATGGGTTTGGGACAGGGGATCTTGACGTGGATCTCTGCCCTATATAGCTCACCGAGAGCGGCAGTGCGTGTGAATGGAGCCCTGACTACGAGCTTTGGAATCACAAACGGGACTAGACAGGGCTGCCCCCTCTCGCCACTCCTCTTCGCCCTCTCTCTGGAGCCCTTCCTACAGGCGATCCGGGATCACCCGGATATCCAAGGCTATTCATGGCGAGACACGGAGCATAAGGTGGCCGCATACGCGGACGATCTATTGTTCTTTGTCTCCCAACCACGGCTCACACTGCCCTGCCTGCTGTCAGAATTCGACAAATTTGGCCAGATATCGGGATTCAAGCTCAACCTGGCGAAATGTGAGACTCTGAATATTAACATACCCACAACGGAATACGAGGCTCTAAGTTCACTCTTCCCATTTCGTTGGTGCACGGGAGCAATGAAATACCTCGGTATTTGGATCCCCACGGACCCGGGGGAAACCTATCGGCGTAACTTCACGCCTCTTCTGCAGAAAATTGAACTGGACCTTAAAAGTTGGGCTTATCCGCACATCACATGGCATGGCAGAGTGGCAGTCCTTAAAATGAACGTTCTCCCGAGGGTCCTCTACCTATTTCAGACGATCCCGATCGCACTACCGGCTACGTTCTTCTCGATCCTAAAAACGGCGGTTATTAAATACGTATGGCGAGGGGAGAAGTCCAGGTTGCGCCACGACCTCTAATGCCAGCCCAGACACAGGGGGGGGCCTTGCGCTCCCGGATTTTAAAAAATACCACCAAGCTGCAACGCTACAGCGCATCCTGGAATGGCACGAAACAGACACGATCAAGCAATGGGTAACGCTGGATCAAGAGGGGAACGCTGCAAAACTAAAAGCCGCGACATGGAGGAGAAGGGCGACTAGGAGTGGTAGAGGGCACAGCGAGGATCCGGTATCGCAGACCCTACTCACATGGGAGACTCTCAGGGAGGAGCCGCGGATATCCCCGACCCCCTGCCCCCTACTGCCGATAACACACAACCCCGATATAGGGGGCGGCCTGCCGGCGGAAGCCTGGTCATTCCTAGGGGATGCGGAATACATCCCGATTCACAAGGTCACTCGGGACGGGACCCTAGACACCCTGGACACGTTACTAGGAGATCGACCGCGGTCCCCGATGACGGTTCTTCGCTATATGCAACTAAAACACTTCCACGACTCGCTCCCCCACAAGGAGAGGTTACAGAGAGATCTCACATGGTTCGAGGATCTCTGTACTCATGGCAGACCACTTGGAAAGGCTATCTCGAACCTATACCAATACCTGCTGACTGATTCCACCTCGGAGAATAATATGTTTCAGCGATGCTGGGAGGAGGCAATGACCAAAACATTCTCACCAACGCAATGGGACAAAGCCTTGATATGGCAGCACAAAAGCTCCTCTAGTTCACACTACCAGGAGGTGAACTATAAACTGCTCTCTATGTGGTATAGGACCCCGGTACTACTTCATAGAATTTTCCCCACTACCCCACCAACCTGTTGGAGATGCATGGATGATAGGGGCATGCTTTTACACATCTGGTGGGAATGCAGACTCATCACCCCATATTGGGACCAGATCGAATCTGACGTCCGACTGATCCTCGGCAATGACGTTGAGTGGTCGGTCGAACTAGCCTTACTACATATCTCCTCGCAACCACTGCCAGCCTACAAAAAATCTATTATGCGACATCTGTTGAATGCAGCCAAATCGCTCATACCGTTGTATTGGAAGAAGACAGATGTACCCACCCGGGAGGAATGGATACACAAAGTAGAAGATATCAGGGCGGCTGAGGTGGTCCAGGCAGGACTGATGGATAGGATGACGAAGTACACTGATATGTGGGCGCCGTGGTTTGCCTTCCGCGCGGGATAATGGGAGGGGTGTCGGTTCGGGGTCTGGGCGCCTGGGGGGGCGGTGTGACCCCTGCGATATAACCATACTACATACTGGGATTCCGGACCCCTCTAAGGCACTGACGGGCACAATCATCACGCTCCCACACCATTCACATAACCCTGATCAGGAAGGGAACCACATCCCTAGATACTTAGAGACGGCAGGCAGATACAACACTACACAAGGGGAGCTCAACCACTGTCCCCAAAACAAGCTGACCCTCTCCGACTTAAGGACGCTACAACCAGGTGACCTCAGTGATGGAGGCAGACGCTACACAGTCACAAAAAACAAGGGACATGACCCCCAATATAACAGGGCTCGCTCGGGCCCGCTCGGGCCCACACTATGCTCTCTTTGCCCTTGACTCCAGGACCCGAACCAGGCCTACGCACCATTAGCATGCAAGCTCTGACCCCTGGGGCCGAGCCGCGACACAACACATCATGACATCCTCTCACACTCATCAAAGACGGCAGACGCTTCTGTAAATCTGTAGAAAAGCAAATTTGGGGGAACCATGCATTTAGAGTTTCCCATGAGGACTTCGCCGTAGAAAGCCTGGATGGGCTACATACGGACATCTAACAGGGCGTGACATCACCGCCCTTCTCCTGAAGACCACGGTCCCTACTGACACATAACACTGACCGCAACCTGACCCCGACAAAGTAACTAATTATTCCTGCTTACGGTCTTTACAGGGATGTATACTATTCATACGATGTGATCATACACCCGGGTTCCATAACGAGCCCACGAAACCAAGACATGTCATCCCCATACTTTGGTGCTTTGTACTACATACACACATCACTTTCATGTGTAACTCTCTTCCATTGGATACTACTGTGACATCACGCACCCGGATGCGTTTATACAGTAAACAAGAAAATAACAGACCCCCCCCCCCCCATAGGTGGGTACACTAACCTGTGAACACCACATACAACACACTGTTCACACAATCCTAGCCTTAGACAACAAGGCACTGCCATCACACAACTCTCACGTGCCGTAACACCGCCACTCCATCCAGAGAACGAAAACGCACCTGAAATTTACGAATGGTTATAAGTGACAAGTTGTAACCATAAACTGTTATTGAACACTGTTTTCCTTATTGAATGCTATACCTGTAGGAATCTCTACGATCTTTAGACTGTACTCAAACCCTATTATTGCGGGCCTGCGTGCCCAACAGTACTGTTTTCACTGATACTCAATAAAACTTGATTAACAGACAGCTTACTCTGGAATGCTACTGAACATTTACTGCTAGATTTCTATTTATTTAAGTAAATAATCCAAAATATTATGTAATTTTTCCCTTTAAACAAGAAAGGGGAGATCTCTAAAAAAACAATGCATTTAGCATCTACGAGATGTAATGAATTGATCCCAAAATGACTTGGAATGCAATGAAAATGGGGGTTGTTGGTTTGATTTGACCATGAGCCGCTGAATGTCCTCAACAAACATATTTGTATAGCTGATGTTTCTGTTTTATTTTGCTGTTTCTTTTTGTTCTTAAGCTGTTAAATGAAATAAATACATTTACTTTTACAGAATAATGAGGATGTGCGATGTAAATGCATTTGCCCACCATATAAGGATAAACCCGGGCATATATATAACAAAAATATAACCCAAAAAGACTGGTGAGTTACTCCTTTTATTTATTTTTTCTGCGTTTCTGCTCTGTGTTCTATTCCTGCGCTCTGCTTTCCTGCATTGAGCTTTCTAGTCCTGCACTTTGCGTTCCTGCGCTGAGCTTTCTATGCCTGCATTCCTGCGCTGAGCTTTTTTTGCCTGCGCTCTGCGTTCCTGCACTGAGCTTTTTTTTGCCTGCGTTCCTGCGCTGAGCTTTCTCTGCGTTCCTGCGCTGAGCTTTCTCTGCGTTCCTGCGCTGAGCTTTCTCTGCGTTCCTGCGCTGAGCGTTCCTGCGCTGAGCTTTGTAGTCCTGTGCTCTGCGTTCCTGCGCTGAGCTTTGTAGTCCTGTGCTCTGCGTTCCTGCGCTGAGCTTTGTAGTCCTGCGCTCTGCGTTCCTGCACTGAGCTTTGTAGTCCTGCGCTCTGCGTTCCTGCACTGAGCTATCTATGCCTGCGCTCTGCGTTCCTACGCTGAGCTATCTATGCCTGCGCTTTGCGTTCCTACGCTGAGCTTTCTATGCCTGCGCTCTGCGTTCCTGCGCTGAGCTTTCTATGCCTGCGGTCCAGCGCTGAGCTTTCTATGCCTGCGTTCCTGCGCTGAACTTTCTATGCCTGAGCTTTCTATGCATGCGCTCTGCGTTCCTGCGCTGAGCTTTCTATGCCTGCGCTGTGCTTTCTATTCCTGATCTCTGCTTCATTTTGAACATTTCTTTTACAGTAACTGTTACAATGTTGTAACGTCCCATCCTGTACCAGAACCAGACTTTGAGGCGTATTGCCTGCGCTGTGAGTGTAAATATGAAGAGCGAAGCTCTGTTACTATCAAGGTAATTTTATATTTCTTGTGCCTCGTTTTATCGGTAAAAAATGGCCTTGGTATTAAAACAGTGCTAATAAATATAATATTCTAAAAACTAGTTCTAAAAAATAGAAAGGATTTTAAAAAGTATAAGTGTATGTATGTATGTATGTAATATGTATATATGTGTGTGTGTGTGTATATATATGTATGTATGTGTGTATATATATATATATATATATATATATATCTCTCTATAAGAATTTTCTATTGGTTTTGACAAATTAGTGTTTACATTCTCAGGTTACCATTATCATCTACCTGTCTATCCTGGGTCTCCTGCTGTTGTACATGGTTTACCTGACACTCGTCGAGCCCATGCTGAAGAGGCGTCTGTTTGGCCATTCGCAGCTTATCCAGAATGATGACGATGTTGGGGTGAGTTACTTGCTGTTCCTGCCCCTCTGGCAAGGAAGAGTTTGCTGCCATCACAATTTTTTTTTTTTATATATATATATTTATAATATATATATATTTAAATCTGCTGATACATTATTCCTAATCACGCCATCATGACTCTCTCTGACATCCTCCCTGACCCTCCTCTTCCCCCCTCCCCACCAATTCAGTCCTTTTTGCAGTTATTTTCCTTTAAATTTTTCGTCACACTCTTGTAACCTGGCACAGGTTTTTTGGGGGGGGTTTTTTGCACCGTCATGTTCTGATTATCTCAAACTCTGCCAAAGGCTGTGAACCCATCACTGCTGCTGTTTACTGTAAGCTCCTTCATTGGTGATAAGTGGGGGGGGGGTAAGGCGCTGCTGTGTATGTGCAGCTGGCAAAAGATCCTTTGAATTGAACTGAATTCCTGTTTATAAAACCATTGCATAGAAACTTAATCTCCCCCACACCTATTTAATTCTACCTTTCACTTGGCAGAACATACATATTTCTGTTTTATCAACAGCATTCTGCCAGTTCAGGATTAATTGCTGTTGTGGTTGTGGTATTTCCATTGTATGTGGGGTACACAATACTTAAAACGAAGAAATAATGAGAACCTCAATGCAATGATTTAAAAAAATATATATAATGGCTGATTTTCTCCACCACCCTGCTTCTTCAGCATTATCTGTATTATTAGAGAAGTCATAAACGTGAGAATGAAATATCACAAATTTCTTACTTAGATGTTGCAGATCTGTCCAGTTTTGTTTTATGTATAAAGCCCATTTAGATAGGAGGAGTTAGGTCTGTTGTGCACAGAAGCAGAACACACCCAGAAACACTTTGCTCCTCCCCTGTCATGTTCCTTCCGCATCATTTCCACCTCTGAAGGTTTTATTTTTTTGCCAGTGAGATTGTTGAGAGTAGGTGCCTACCATTCCTGCCCGCCCGGTGTGACTTGTGATGGGCAGGATGGCCAGAGGCTATGGGTATTTAGAAGCACACATTTGGAGAAGTGGGTGATATATGATCAGACCCCTCCTCACCGCCAAGGTTCTCTGTTAGAAGTGGCCTGCATGGCATGGAAATCTGAGCAGTTTAACACCTTAAGGACCAAACTTCTGGAATAAAAGGGAATCATGACATGTCACACATGTCATGTGTACTTACAGGACCACTCTAGGCACCCAGACCACTTCAGCTTCATGAAGTGGTCTGGGTGCCAGGTCCCTCTAGGATTAACCCTTTTTTTTTTTTATAAACATAGCAGTTTCAGAGAAACTGCTATGTTTATAAATGGGTTAATCCAGCCCTCAAAGCCTCTAGTGGCTGTCTCACTGACAGCCGCTAGAGGTGTTTGCGTGCTTCTCACTGTGAAAATCACAGTGAGAAAATGCAAGCATCCATAGGAAATGCTTTCCCATGAGACCGGCTGAATGCGCGCGCAGCTCCTGCCGCGCATTCGCATTCAGCCCAGGAGGAGGATCGGAGGCGGAGAGGAGGAGGTGAGCTCCCCGCCTGGTGCTGGAGAAAGGTAAGATTTAACCCCTTTCCTCTCCCCAGAACCTGGCGGGTGGGGGCACCCTCAGGGCACTATAGTGCCAGGAAAACAAGTATGTTTTCCTGGCACTATAGTGGTCCTTTAAGGGGTTAAGCTATAAATTTTGCAGCTCTCGTGGTTAAATGTTATTTCTAAATACAGATCAACCGCTATGAGGGTACTTTGATGCAGTGGTTTGCTTAGCACAGTATGTTCAAGTGTTCTAATCAAATTACTAGAATTTGGATTGTGAGATGATTTTGTGGAGCCGTTTTTGTGTAATTTATAATTGAACAAGCATTTTAAATAGTTTTTCATTGCTTAATTTGGAATGTGATTAATTTTACAGTAGATTCTGCTCATTTCCCTATCCATAGTGGGATTCTGTGCTGACAGAGAAGTGTGATCTGCTCTCTGTTAAAGCATTAATAATGTGTGTATTTTCCTTGTTTATCGAGTAGCCTTACCTGCCAGGTGTGTGAGGGGAATGTTCCGTTAATAGAATGTTTACCCTGCACTTTCTACAATATTAACTCTTTACTTTCAGCATATATTACAGGACACAATCTTTACAATGCGTTTTGTCTTAACCTTTCTTTTTTCCTGTGTGTTTATACACACACAATGGGGCTCAAAATTTCCACAAGCCATTAATGAGGTAAAATTTAGGCCGATGAGTAGAAATTTGCCGTGGTTAGTGCTCCATGGACTCTCCAGTCTTGCATTGGCAAGTAACTTGAAAATTTAGGCCCTGCAAAAAAAAAAAAAAATATATATATATGTATATATATAAAATATAAAAATATTCTCCCATACGTTTCCAAATTAATTCATGCTAAAAAGTAGAGCCTTTTTCCTCTACTAATGTTTTTTGATATTTCTATTTTTTCCAGGACCAACAACCATTTGCAAATGCTCATGATGTGCTGGCACACTCCAGAAGTCGCGCCAATGTCTTAAACAAAGTGGAATACGCTCAGCAGCGCTGGAAGCTGCAAGTGCAGGAACAGCGCAAGTCTGTGTTCGACCGCCATGTTGTGCTGAGCTAATCAAAGAAATGATACATTTCCTTTCAGAAGACATGGACTTCAAGAGCTCCTCCATTCCCGTTTTCTCAATGCCTCTTGCATGAATCAATCTAAAGTTTCATATGGGGCTGTAGATTTGTGCGCAGGGCTCTGGTGGAGCGACAGATGTGAAATACAAACAGACTAAAAATTCTCCTTTAATGATATTTCTTATGATGATAACGAGCCTTGCATATATGTATAAATATATGAGATACGTTGCTAATAAAATAGTTAAGTTATTGTTCTCTGCTGGCTGTGATTCTCTGTTTTTAACATAATGCATTTTGAGTGTTAAGTCTTTCTTCGTTGTGATGTCACTTCCTGTAAACTGTCTGTATTTCCATAAACTGCTATTTGAATAGCTGCTTGTTGTCTGCATGGGACAGAGACTACATTTTAACTTTGCTGACTGTGATTACCCACAATCCATGGCAGATATTTCAGTTGAACCACACACAGTATTTTTTTTATTTTTTTTAAGGTTTGACATCCCTGTTTCCAAGTAAATATCAGCATGTTCAGTGAATGTTAAATTATTCTGTAACATAGAGAAATATACCCAATTTATACACACAGTTTATAGAAATATAAAACTGGTTTTGAAACGTGTTCACTCCTATGATGGCGGCTTGAGCTAAAGATACTTGTGTGTATCACGTAAGGCAGGGTTGTCAAACATGCGGCCCCCCAGATGTTGCTGAACTACAACTCCCATGATTCCCTGGCTATCTGTTTCATTGAAAGAATAATGGGAGTTGTAGTTCAGCAACATCTGGGGGGCCGCTTGTTTGACAACCCTGACGTAAGGTGTTCAGTGTCAGAGCTATTTACAAAGTGAGAATTCCAAATTATTAGAAATTCCAAATTAGGGGCACAAAAGCCAAACTGCGAAAATTCGCTTTCAGTGCAGCTACTGTGGCTTTAAATTTGAAATCCACTTTTAATTCTCACTTTAGTGAAAAAACCTTTATGGTTTTGTCTTTTTTAGATTTTTATCATTAAAATACTTTATTTAATTTTATTTCTGAGCAAAATGCAGCTTCTGCCAAAAGTGGGCAAAATATCTGCTATGCATTTTTAGTGTTCTTTACTTATATCCGGTTTTCAGACAATGAGCAGTACTATAAACATGAAATGAATAAATAGCAAATGGCCAAGACAGATAATTTAAGTACCCATTCTGTACACATAGATAAATATAGAATATGATTAAAGCCATATAATGATAATGTACAGTAAAAGTCACTAGTAAATAGGAAACCATAAAACGGGCTGTTACTAAAATGTAACATGGAGGGCTCTCTTACTTACTGAAATTTAGGAATATAGCAACGGGAGCCAGATGTCTCCCCATGGGGCATACAAGGTTGACCTGGAGTGCATCTAGACAGTATTATGCTTAATGCAGAGTAAATTTAAATGGCCAGTGTGGGTTTATTTTACCCTGGACATCCATGTGTGCCAGAATCTAATTCTCAATAATCCACAGTGCAAGTATGAGAAATATGGGGGATTGTGTAAAATAACTAGAGATTTATACTCTGGAATATCCAGAATATTTGCTTGTTCTATTCCATAAGGACTAATGTTTGGCCAAGTAAGCAGATTTTGCTCAGAAGTGCTAGCACTTTAAAAGAGACTGTCTCTATTTTAAATTTGAACGTTCCAGGTATATTACCAGAACTAATTTCACTCCTCTGTCACGGTGTAAAATGATTACATTCTCATGTATTGTCCATGAAGTACTGGAATTCTATCGTAAATCCATCTGATTTAGCGAGCAGGAGAGATGGAGACCTAGGACATGTTTCCCACCCATAACTGCTTACTGCTGGTACAATCCCATCGTGAGACTTTTACACGAAAACAACTGTTCACATCAATAAGAACAATAAATATTGCGTGACGTGATGTAAATTAAAAAAAAGTCGTCTTATTCTTTTGAATTATTTTATTGATTTGTTGCCGCTGATCTGCTTAGTGATGCAATTACTGTATAATCTGAATTTCATTCTCTTCCCCACGATTCACTATGATGCCATTCTATTCATTGTAACTGGATTTACATTGCGATTGGTGATATTGATTTTGGTATCTTTGACACAAAATAAATACTGATTTACCTCCATTTGTCTTTCTTTTCTTGATGAAACTTTGGCTGATCAGTCTCTTACTATGTTCTAAATCTGTGAAGCTTTATTTCAGACTGAACGGGTGTATGATCTAGAATGCCCTCGTGGACTGGTTCATGAAACGTAATTCATGTTTAAAGAGGAACTTTCATTGGTTCTGTTAAAAACAAGTAAATACAAATTAATGGGTTGAAACGTTGATCGTTCTTCTTATCATCAATACACCTTTTGAAAATCCACTGAGTGCTCTCTTCATTCAATTGCTATATCTATCTCTCTCTCTCTCTCTATATATATATATATATATATATATAAAAACACACACACTCTCACACTTAATAAAAAAAAAAATATATATATATAAATGTAAAATGGCATTTACCCCACACAAAGCTCTAGCCCTGAATGCAGAGCAGCTGTACAGACATGGTATTCTCTGTAATCAATCCCAGAATAGTTTGTTTTTTGTTATAAATTGTAAAAACCGCCCGTACCTGCACAGCCCAACTTTAGTTTAATACCAATATAATGACCCGGTTGTGATTTGTGTGTAACATTGCCTGAATATGTACCGGAAAATGGATGCACGTAGGCAGAGTTAGTGCATATTTATAATTTATTTTACATTCTCTCTCTTCACTGCAATGCCATCTAGTGGTAAACACGGCAAGCATTGTGTGGACCTCCCGCAATTGGCGCATTGTTATTGCAAAAAAACATTTCAAATAGAGAAAGGGGAACAATTTCGTTTTTGGGGTGTGGCCTGTGCAGGGCTGAGTGTGAGTGGGGGTGTAACTAGGGGCGGGCTGTTCTGATAAAATTGAGGTGACTTACTAATAACAATTTATAGAACTAAAATGTATTTTAGCAGACAAACAATGTATCTTATTTCTACAGACTGATTTCTTAACGCATTTAATGTCGTTTAAAGACACATTGCTGGGAATATTATTGCTGTGGAGCTCTGTGATATGCTCGGACACACCAACAATGTGGAGCTCATAGAAAAGGGATTTGGGCTAAAATGGAGACTGTCCCTCCTAAATAGGGACACTTGGGAGATATGTGCTAGGAATTGTGGTTTCCCAGTGGATGCCATTTTGGAGGTGGAAAAAGTGATGTAACTTTAAGATTTATTTACTAAATAGTGAATGGAAATTCATAGTAAGATTCAGTTACCCACATTCCATTCTCAGATAGTGTAATGGGGGTTATGTATAAAAAGGTGTCTTGTTTTTTGTTTTCTTCTGCTTTTCCTATTCATGCCTATTTATTCCCCTACTGCACTTTTCCATAATTTCATTTTCCTTCACTATTTGCTTTATTTTTTTTGTTCACAAATTTGTAACTTTTAGAGTACAAGAAAGAGGTGGTAACGTGCACCATTTCTTCTCAACAGAGTTTTGGATTTTCGGTGACTAGTAAACTACTTTTATATTCTTCCTCTCTTATTTAATGTATAATGAAAAACAATTCAAATTGCAAATGTACCATTTTGTGCAATTATATTAGTCAATTGTCGTTTGTTTGTGTGAATGGCACGCATAGTTACATTATTAGCAAGAGAAAAATAATAAATTCTGAAAATTGAATAAAAAGTGTCAGTCGGAGTTTTCGGTCATATTACAGAAATGGTGAAAAAAAGTAATCAAGGTACAAAACAGTTTTATACATAATAAAATGGTGCATGCGCACAAAATGGACACAAAAGTGAATATTACACGTAACAACCATTTAAATATTGGATTTTTAAAAAAAAATAAGAATATGCCATCCCTGGTGTAATGCAGTAAACGGCAAGGGTTGCACATGTGACATGGCCTTGCTCTCCTCTCAACTCCATCTCACTAACATTTACCATAATTCTCAACAAACCAACATGTAAACAGTAATGAGGGGAGGATTAGCAAATGGGGTTCCAAAAATGTTTACATCCTTTATTATTTGATTAAAGGATCATTATAGTGTCAGGACAACAAACTTGTTTTCCTGGCACTACATAGTCCTCAGGGCCCCCATCCCGCTGGGCTGAAGGGGTTAAAACCCCTTCAGCCACTTACCTTTATCCAGCGCTGGTGACCTCTCCTCCCCCTCCGACATCAGCTCCCGAGTGGAGCCGCATGCGCGGCAAGATCTGTGCTCCCATTAAAAATGCCCATAGGAAATCATTTCTTAATGTTTTTCTATGGACGTTCTACGTGCTCAATGCGATTTTCGCATTGAGTGTCTGGGAAGCACCTCTAGCGGCTGCCAGGAAGACAGTCACTAGAGGAAGGACTAACCCTGCAATGTAAACAGTTTACATCTGAAGGCTTAAAACCTGGGGGACCTGGCACCCAGACCACTTCATTGAGCTGAAGTGGTCAGGGTGACTATAGTGGTCCTTTAATTAATTAGTTGTGTGTCATTTCTGTAAGGTATTTCAATATAAATACTAATTGCATTGTTGTTTTTTTAGGAAATTAATCTATAATTAGGTGTCACTTATAGTGTACAGGTTAGAATAACAAATCTGAACCAGTAACAATCCTATTATTGCTGCATTTAATATAAATACTGATTGTTTTTACCGTACTGTGCTGCCATTTCCTGGGCCGCAGGTTTTACCTTGTTTCAGGAAATAAAACGCCAAAGACGATCGCTATTACACCGTTATTTTTAAATAAACAGTTTGATTGTTAGAAAGACAGCTGCAAGCTCCCCGCTTTGTGTCTAGTATTTTCTTTTTCAGTATTTTGTGTTTACACTTTCACGCTCATAAAACAATAAGCTGTGTTTAGGTTATATGGAGTTCATTGCACATAATAGCCAGAACCCTATAAATTGATCCAATGATTCTCATTCAGCTTTACCTTGCGTTCATTCCTCCAATGGTCAGGTAAGAGGGGCTCTATCTCCGTCTACTGGGGGGAGAGTGCAAGAAACTAGTTATTGTTATGATAAAGCGCCAACATATTCTGAAGCGCAGTACACTGTACACAGGGTTATTCAGTAAACTGCACTCTGTACGAAACTGACCAGTGAATTTTAACTTAAGCCAAAATAGCTGAATCCAAACATAGTTAAGTTTAGATTTTTTCAAGTTTGTTTATTTGACATTAACTGGTCTGATTCACAGTTTTAGGAATAAATCAGTGTAACTAAATGGAAAAAAATATATAAAACTCAGTTTGTCTATGACATGTATGTGAAGTGCTAACGCTGATTTTAATGTACGATTTATTGTTACAGTTCTTGCTTTTTACTTTAAAGAGAGTCTCATTAAAGAGACACTAAATGGTACAGTAACCACAAGACGCAGTACTAGATGTACCTTCACACAGTCTTTAAATGATCACTATAGAGTCAGGAACACAAACATGTATTCCTGACTCAATAGTGTTAAAACCCCTGGGCCCCTCATGCCTCCATAAATATAGCAAAATCTTTCTGTATTCAAGCCTGAAGCTGTAGATCTGCATGCTGTTTGCCTCAGAAAAACAAGCTGTCTGCTGACATCATCAGAAGTGGTAGCCTGACCCAATCACAATGCTTCCCCGTAGTATTGGCTGAGACTGACAAAGAGGCAGATCAGGGGCATGATTCAAACACAAGCCTGGCCAATTAGCATCTCCTCATAGAGATGAATTGAATTAATGAATCTCTATGAGGAAAGTTTAGTGTCTGCATGCAGAGGGAGGAGATACTGAATGTTTGGATGCATTTTAGGCAGCCATGACCCAGGAAGGATATCTAACAACCATCTGAGGAGTGGCCAGTGAAGTTATCACTAGGCTGTAATGTAAACACTGCATTTTCTCCGAAAAGACAGTGATTACAGCAAAAAGCCTGAAGGTAATGATTCTACTCACCAGAACAAATTCAATAAGCTGTAGTTGCTCTGGTGACTATAGTGTCCCTTTATCCCCTTAAGAACACATGACATGTCATGATTCCCTTTTATTCCAGAAGTTTGGTCCTTAAGGGGTTAAATTTAGTCATGACATGGTCACTTTTAAGTAAAAGCTTTTATTTAATTAATTGGGACCGCACATCCCACCGCTGTATCAGATGCCAAATATTTAGAGGGTATGTATTGTGTAGAGGTTTGTATAGAGGTTCTTTATTCCCTAGTCCCAAAATATTTATCAGGTATCTGATACAATTCCAGAACCTACTGGTTGCAACATAAGGTAAAGCACCTGTTCGACGAAGTAAGAACTGTGAACACAGGAATTACAAATTGGAACCTGTAGCATTTTACTCACAAACAGGGCTGTAAAACTATTTAACATATTTATAAAAACAAGAAATTAACTATATTCTTATGACTCTTGGAAGTGTAAGTATGTAAAGTGGGTGAAGGTTAAATAGTTACTGAGATTTCTTTCAGGAATTTACATTTTAAAAGCCCAGATTACCAAATCATATCAATATAATGCATTAGGCGTTAAGTTCTAGAATTATCATCTGCTCTCTGTTCTGGTACATTGAATACCCAAATTAACAATGATAATATTTATTATAGGGTTAAAACGAATTATGGAACACACGTCACACTGTCTGCCTAAGAAACCTCATTCAGTCAGTAATACTCAATGTGTTGGTCAGTTTCCACACTCAGTCTGTGTGGATCCCACAACGAAAGGTCTGTTGAGTCCAGAAATGCGTCGGTTGAGCTGTTCACAAGATGTGGCTTTTCTCCCGTACATGATGGGTTCTGCTATTGATGAACACTATTTCAGCAGTTTGTACAATATTCATTCTCAAGCGTCCTACCACACACACAGCCACCTAGAAGGCTATTACGGGCCATCGTACATCCGAAAAAGGAATGAGAGAGAGAGGCAGCGAGTGAAATGCGTTAACGAGGGTTACGCCAGGCTTCAAAGCCATCTTCCCCAAGAGTATCTAGAAAAACGTCTCAGCAAAGTGCAAACACTCAAAGCAGCAATCAAGTACATTAACCTTCTTCAAGAGGCCCTCGGCTCTGAGATGTCTAGAGTCCCTCTTCAAGAAGAGAACCACGTTCGAAGCTTTAATAATGATGAAGAACAAGGCTTTTGTCACCTTTTAAGAAGATCATTTCAACAATAGAGAGAGACAGAGACGAGATGACAGAATTCATCCTCTCATAACATAAATGGCGATAATAACAACATTAACTACTATAGAGCTCTGTGATACACTCACACACTGCACAATACTGTGAATCTTTATTGCAGTGGAGCTCTGTGATACACTCATACACACTGTGCATTACTGTAAATTTTTATTGCTGTCGAACTGTGATAAACTCATGAACACTGCACATTACTGTTCTTTTATTGCTGTGGCACTCTGTGATACACTCGTATACACTGCACAATACTGTTTGTTTTAATTCTGTGGAGCTCTGTGATACACTCGTATACACTGCACAATACTGTGAGTCTTATTGTTGTGGAGCTCTATGGCACATTCATACACACTGCACATTACTGTGACCTACAAATATTATTTCTGCCTGTTGACCCTTCTTTAACCGCTACTTGCATTCTTTCATTATGTGAATATGATAATTGTAATATTTGGGGAATAAAATGTCCGTCCATTGATCTCATGTCTTGCTCAATTGTCTAACCAGGGGCCTAACATAATACAATAAGAAGCTGTAATAATATGTAATAAATATATTGGAATCAGCTGTTTACCAGCTACCCTTGTCCTTAAGGTGGTTCTTTTACTGTAGACCTTTACAAAAACAGAGATAAGTGACACCTGAATGGGATGAATTATTCATGTACAGTCACACCTGGTTGGGGGGGTGGAGGGGGGTAAATGTCTTCATCTCAATATAGGGGAACGTCTGTATCCTGGGTATCGCAGCTCAAAAGATACTCAAATTATAGAGAAAATACTGAGTAAGACAAAGTAATACTGATACACATAATACCGAGTAACATAGATACACTGAATATTGAGTAATACAGATAAACTTAACACTGAGTAACACAGGGTAATAATACCTAACAGACATGCTTTGACTGTCTGAGTATTATAACGGAGCGTGCTGTGAGTATCTAGGTATAATAGCGGAGTATGCTGTGAGTATCTAGGTATAAAAGATGAGTATGTTGTGAGTATCTGACTACTGTAGTTGATTATGCTGTCAGTATCTGAGTGTTATAGCTAAGCATGCTGTCAGTATCTGAGTATTATAGCTAAGTATGCTGTCAGTATCTGGGTATTTTAGCGGAGTATGCTGTCAGTAACTGAGTATTATAGCGGAGTATGCTGTCGGTATCTGGGTATTATAGCGGAGTATGCTGTCGGTATCTGGGTATTATAGCAGAGTATGCTGTCAGTATCTGGGTATTTTAGAGGAGTATGCTGTCAGTATCTGAGTATTATCGCTGAGTATGCTGTCAGTAACTGAGTATTATAGCGGAGCATGCTGTCGGTATCTGGGTATTATAGCGAAGTATGCTGCCGGTATCTGGGTATTATAGCGGAGTATGCTGTCAGTATCTGGGTATTTTAGAGGAGTATGCTGTCAGTATCTGAGTATTATCGCTGAGTATACTGTCAGTAACTGAGTATTATAGCGGAGTATGCTGTCAGTAACTGAGTATTATAGCAGAGTATGCTGTCAGTATCTGGGTATTTTAGAGGAGTATGCTGTCAGTATCAGAGTATTATAGCTAAGTATGCTGTCAGTATCTGAGTATTATCGCTGAGTATGCTGTCAGTAACTGAGTATTATAGCTGAGTATGCTGTCAGTATCGGAGTATTATCACTGAGTATGCTGTCAGTATTTGGGTATTATAGTGGAGTATGCTGTCAGTATCTGAGTATTATAGCTGAGTATGCTGTCAGTAAGTGAGTATTATAGCGGAGTATACTGTCAGTATCTGGGTATTATAGCGGAGTATGCTGTCAGTATTTGGGTATTATAGCGGAGTATGCTGTCAGTATCGGAGTATTATAGCTAAGTATGCTGTCAGTAACTGAGTATTATAGCTGAGTATGCTGTCAGTAATTGAATATTATAGCAGAGTATGCTGCCAGTAATTGAGTATTATAGCAGAGTATGCTGTCAGTATCTGGGTATTACAGTGGAGTATGCTGTCAGTATCTGGGTATTATAGCAGAGTATGCTGTCAGTATGTGGGTATTATAGTGGAGTATGCTGTCAGTATCTGGGTATTATAGCTGAGTATGCTTTCAGTATTTGGGCATTATAGTGGAGTATGCTGTCAGTATCTCGGTATTATAGCTGTGTATGCAGTGAGTATCTGAGTATTTTACAGGAGAATGCTGTCAGTATCTGGGTATTATAGCTGAGTATGCTGTTAGTATATGAGTATTATAGCTAAGTATGCAGTGAGTATCTGGTTATTTTAGAAGAGTATGCTGTTAGTATCTGAGTATTGTAGCTGAGTATGTGGTGAATATCTGGGTATTATAGCTAAGCATGCTGTGGGCCGGGCCGGATTAACATAAGGGCCGATGGAGCTGCAGCTCCAGGCCCATGGAATAGGCCCATTGATTAAATTTTTTTATTTTTTTTACACACTACTCTTGGTGTTGTTCACGTGGACGGTATTTATTTGAGGCTGCCTGGCCGGTGCCAATATTGCAGTAATACCGGCAATACAAATGCCGGTATTTTTCTCAGTATAAACAGATTACTCTGCAATACCATTATCGGCCAGTGTGTGTATGGAGAGGGGCAGGGATAGGAAGTTACAGCATATACCTGCATCGCTCTACTCACTGATCCGCGGGGGAGCAGCTACACAGCACAGAGAGTACAGACAGCAGCTCCCAGCCTGCAGGGAGAAATGGGGACACTGAGATACTAGGGGACACTATGAGACATGGGGACACATGGAGACCTCTGGGGACACAGACACACATGGGGACAATGAGACATGGACACATGGACACAATGAAACACTAGAGGACATGGTGACACAGACACACATGGGGACACTGAGACACTAGGGGACATGGTGACACAGACACACATGGGGACACTGAGACACTAGGGACACAATGAAGGCTGTGAGTATCTGGGTATTCTAGAGGAGTGTATCTGGGTATTCTAGAGGAGTATGCTGTGAGTATCTGGGTATTCTAGAGGAGTGTATCTGGGTATTCTAGAGGAGTATGCTATGAGTATCTGGGTATTCTAGAGGAGTGTATCTGGGTATTCTAGAGGAGTATGCTGTGAGTATCTGGGTATTCTAGAGGAGCATGCTGTGAGTATTTGGGTATATCTAGATGTGTATGATATGAGTTTTCTAGATAAGTATGCTCTCTCTCACACTCTGCCTCTCCAGGTTGTTAGGAATTCTTGGCTGCGGTTCCTTTGTTGCCTCTATGGTAACAAACACAGTAACCAGGAAACACAATCCTCTGTCACTAGTCTGCAGTCAGTCTGTGTCCCAGCACCAGCAGCTCATTGTAACAGCGTCCTGCCTCCCCCGACTGGTAAGGGATTTGGGGTACCTGCTATGTGAGGGTTCAATCTCTGTCTGATCACGGCCTCCTGCAGCAATGTGTTTTATTCCTTCTTACAAAATCTGGCAGATTGTTATCTTTTTATTTCTTTTGTTGATTATTCCTAAAACAAACTAAATTATCTAAATTACTGAAAAGCATTAAATCCTGTCTGAAAATGCACGTTTTGTTCTATTTGAAATTCTGCCATTAATTTATCACAAAAATAACACGTTATCAAGATTTAAAAAGAAGGAAGATTTGGGATAAATTAACTTTTATCTTTATCGCTTTACATCTGACATTTTCTGTATATTTATATGTTACAATATATTCTAATTATTTAACAGACACTTGTCTAAATATTAAAACACAGAAAATAAATAATTGTACAAATATTATGGAATAATTACTTTGTTTCTGAAATTTTAAAAAAACCTACATTTGTAAGCCGTAAAATGATGGCGATATTAATAAATGACATTTTAGTAGATCGTCTAATGTTTATTCATTTAGAAGTGATATTGCTTTGAGTAAAGTAACAGTTATGGTGCTGGTGAATAATTAGAATGTATTGATAGAGGGCACTATGAGGAGGTGATTGAGGAGTGTGATCTATGGAGTAAGTGTGAACCTCAGTGAGGTGAGTGAGCACTTTGTAGATATAGAAGAAATGGGGGTGAGTGAGCACGTTGGGGAATTGCTTGTGGACAGGAGGGAGGACTTTGGGTACTTGAGTAGGGAGTTGCATAATCACTTCTTGGGCTGAGGTGTGTATAGTGGGTACTTTATTAGGTTGAGTGATGGGTTAGTGGGTACTTTGTGGTACTCAGTGGGTGCTATTTGGATTGAATAGTGAGTGGGCTGGTTATTCTGTTGGGTTGAGTGTGGAGGTTAGTGGGTACTCTGGTTGAGTGTGGAGTTGAATGGGTGCTCTGTTATGTTGAGTGTTAAGGTGAGTGGGTACTCTGTAAGGATGAGTGGAGAGGTGGGTGATTACTCTGTTGGGGTGAATGGGGAGGTGATGGGGTGCTCTGTTAAGGAGAATGGAGAGTTGAGCTGATGCTCTATTGGATTAAGTGGGGAGGTGAGTGGGTACTCTGTTGGGGTGAGTGAGGAGGTAAAGTAGGTGCTCTGTTGGATTAAGTGGGGAGGTAAGTGGGTACTATGTTGGGTTGAGTGGGGAGGTGAGTGGGTACTCTGTTGGGTTGAGTGAAGAGGTAAAATGGGTACTCTGTTGGATTAAGTGGGGAGGTAAGTGGGTACTCTGTTGGATTGAGTGAGGAGGTAAGTGGGTGCTCTGTTGGATTAAGTGGGGAGGTAAGTGGGTACTCTGTTGGATTAAGTGGGGAGGTGAGTGATTACTCTGTTGGGTTGAGTGAGGAGGTAAAGTGGGTGCTCTGTTGGATTAAGTGGGGAGGTGAGTGGGTACTCTTTTGGGTTGAGTGGGGAGGTGAGTGGGTACTCTGTTGGGTTGAGTGAAGAGGTAAAATGGGTACTCTGTTGGATTAAGTGGGGAGGTAAGTGGGTACTCTGTTGGATTGAGTGAGGAGGTAAGTGGGTGCTCTGTTTAGTTAAGTGGTGAGTTGAATGTGAGCTCTCTCTATATAAATGGCGGTAGACTCCGCAAACCCCTGACATATAAATCTCATTCTCAGGACTCAGGATGCATCACTGTATGAGGACGTTGTGTATGGATTCCAAGTACTGCAGTGTGGGATCTCCGCTGAGTGAATACTCATGTCACAGTCTGATAACACACCCACAGCCGGAGTGCAGATACTCTGTAACTGCTCATTCCTGTGTGAGCCACCACTCAATCCCACAAAGGTAAACTACCAGCCTTGTACACAGGTAAACTACCAACATTGTACACAGCCAACCTACCAACCTTGTACAAAGGTAACCTACCAGCCTTGTACACAGGTAAACTACCAACATTGTACACAGCCAACCTACCAACCTTGTACACAGGTAAACTACCAACCTTGTACAAAGGTAACCTACCAGCTTTGTACACAGGTAAACTACCAGCCTTGTACACAGATAACCTACCAACCTTGTACACAGGTAAACTAACAGCCTTATATACAGGTACCCTACAAACATTGTACCCAGGTAACCTACCATTTCAACCTTATAGCAAGGTAACATGACAACTCAGTCTTATACCCAGGTAGCTTATGCCTTACTCACAGATAACATACCAGCTCAGCCTTATAACAAGGTAACCTACTGTAGCCTAACAGAGAGGTAACAGATTTATATATGGGAATCAGCTCATTGTGCGGACAACACAGACACAGGAATAGAATGATTTAGATTGTCTGTGTCGGTGGGTATTGCGTTAGTAAACATCTCTGCGTATCCATAGACACTGCAGCTGAGATAAGGAACAACAGATAGACATTCTCTGTGAATGAGAGATATATAGGGAGTCGCCTATAGATTAGCTGGTATGATACAAATAACTAGAAATACAGATTCTTAACGTCAGTGTGGATCTCTTACTCTAAAACAGCTTTGTAATAAAAAACAGTAAATAACCGTGTGTAGGGTCCACATCAGAGTTTCCTAAAGTATCTCTGCAGAGTAATGTAAGGCAGCGCGAAGGATCATACGGGACAAGTGGAAGAATAAAAATTCCACTTATTTCAAAATTAAAACAAAAAAAAACAGATATATTAAAAGAAAATCTATATTTATAACACAGCCTTATCCCATGTTATATAACCCGGATTTAATATTACTGTGTATAGATTGACCCAGACTTTCTTCTTGTAAATTCTAGAGAATTGAAAATTTTAGGTCAAAAATTGCAAAGTGTAAAAAAAATTCAGCTGGAGTAATATTTCATTATGGTTATTTTGAGCAAAAATTAGCACTTTTTGAATTCTCCATGTTTAGTTTGTGTGAAAAAAAAAGCTAGAATTATATTGTGGGGAAGACATTGTGTGACGGTACATTGTATAAATATTGCGTGTGACGATACATTGTATAAATATTGCGTTTCAGGAATTTTTTTTCATTTTTCAAAGGTGTTTGTGTGGAATCCATTTTCCCCACGTTGGAAGCATACCCTGTGGGAATGTTGAGAATTTGTTTTCCTGCGGGAGATCATTAACGCCACACACAGTGGTACTGGCACGGAGACAGCGCGATGGGTTTTACTATCTGGCGACAGTAAAACAAGAGGTGAAATATTCTTCATAAGCACAATGTAAATCAATCAATAAATCAATTGTGACTTTATGAAAGCAGAGTCTGATACCCTAATCCATTCTCAGAGAAAAATGGACAAGATACAATAAATCATAGTAATCTAAAAAATATTTATCAATATATATCAGTCAGGAGACACAGCTAATCTGAAGCCAAATCTGAGGAAGGCCATATCACTTGGTAGAAACAGATAATCAGTGGCCAGGTCTGAAGAAGGACGTCCCATTTGATCACATATTTTGTAGTTGGCTTATGTTGTGGAATGTGTTTTTCATGTTAGCTGTGTTAAGCTGGGCCCTGATTAGTTTTTGATATCTGTACAGGAAGAACCAGGAGTGTTTCTAATCGAGTTTAATAGGCCGGTGAGTGAACGATATCCCACGACCCTGCAGAAAACAGAGGTGAACGATATGATCCAGTACTTCGATGCGCTGAGACATTGCATTCTTCCTGGAGATACCGTGTTAGCTCCCTGGGAACCAGAACAAGTGAGATATGGACCAGGAACCGTTACACTGGGTGTAGAGACTCGGGATCCTCTCCGAAGTAAGTTGTTTGATGACGTAGCTGTGATATCCCACTTTAGCCTGACTCTTGCTGTCATACTAGCTTTCAGTAAAATTGAATTAAAAAACCAACACTTTGATGGCATTATTTTGCCGTAATACACGGTGCACCGCTAGGCATTCTCCTTGTATTATTATTACTGGTACGAACAGATTCCGTAGCGCTGTACAATTAGTGGAGAACATGCATAATACACAGACAAATACAAAAAGGTAGAGAGGGCCCTGCCCGTAAGCTGAGATCTAGTAATTTAAGCTCTTTTATACAAAGTGCATAGCTAGATAGCCCATGAGCTTACAATCCAATGTAGAGTTATATGTGTGTGTAAATAGTAAAAATTTTCCACTTAAATTTTTTTAGCCGATGAAGATGAAGAATTGACGGTTAGTTTTTGGAACGGTAAGAAGAAACGGGTTCCTCTTGGTGTTGCCGTGTGGATCTCTCCCTCTGTGTATAAACGAATCATGGACCGGCTGCACCAACCCATCACAAGTGGACAAAAGCTCCAGGAGAGTATCCCAAACACCACTACGTACGTGTTTACAGACAGGTTCACCTCGGTGCCCACTAACCTGTGCCCTCCCAGCCATCTCCATAAACACAGCTGGCATCACAGCCACACCTATCCCCACCACCTGCAACAGCATTGTTCTTGCTGCTGTTATCCCAAACATGCAGGGTGCACATGCTGTTATGACCCCAAATGCCAGGACTGGTGGCCACTTACACCCACGGCCACCGTGTATGTACAAAGCAGGAAGGAACAGGAAGATCGGGACAGCATCCACTTAACCACAAGACGGAAAGAAAAGTCTTATCAAATCTCAAAGTCTTCGGAGTCTGAAGATGAAAAATCTCTTGATGATGACGACAACGACTATGACGACCGCAGTGATAATGATGAAGACAGTGACCGAGAAACATGGCTGTCAAAGACTACACAGAGTACGATGGTGGACAGTGGAGTGAATACGGACTCTAGCCTGTGGGACAAGCCAAGAGAGGACATTAATCAACGTCCTGATTGGAAATACTGGAGACACAGTCAGCCGGAACCTTTTTACCGGAAACCAGGTAATTCAATTTTTACGAGGAATTATAACACATCAAACCCCAGAGCTAAGATACAATATACAGCTTACTCAACATCCAAACTGTGTGTACACAGGGAAAAGTTCTGATTAATAAATCGCAGGTAAAAAATTTAAAGGCTTTATTGGCACAGTGGTCAACAGAGTGCACCGTTTGTTTTTCAGTTTGACAATTTTTATTATTTTCCAGGATAGAGAAAGCAAGAAGGGAAAGGGGGGGGTGGGGGGAGTCACTTATGAGAAACAATAACAATCATTAACACAGAATTAATCTTGACATTGTTCATATGGCAAGAGTAACATCATAACCCTCATGTAGCATCTGAACTCAACAGAGTGTACGTTAAACAGTGACAGGCCACAGCTACCACGCTTCTTATAAATCCCATGAAACTCATTAATGTCATTATTGTCTCAATCTTTATAGCAACTTTTTTCAATTGAATCCAGAAACGCCCTATAAATCAGCTTTTGCCATTAAACTATTTTAGCAGGACTTTTGCCGGGTCCCGGTGATAAAATGCTGAGGATCTGAGGATATTCTGCCCATTTAGAAAGTATTTTATGATTTTTCTTTTCTCATTTTCTAAAACAGTCGAAGAATTTGTTGCTTAGAAAACTTAAACCAGAAAAGTCAGTTTTGACATAGACCACATCATTTATAGACTTACTCTGGGAATCCAAACTCATATAATGCACAGCCAGACTTCTGCAATGAGGCTGAGAGTCTATCTCATTCAGTGTTGGAGTTTTACTCTCAATGTCTTATTCCCTCATTTTTAGGAAATACTGTGAGAAAATCAAAAAGTGCGGCTTCTCAATCGAATTCCTGTGTGTCTTGGCCGGACGTTACAGGTTTAGCCAATCAGAGCTCTTTGTTCGAAACGATTGTGGATTCCCCAGTCAGAAGACTTACGGTGAAAGATGTTCTTGTTCACAAAGATTTCAACCCATCAGATGTTGTACGTAAACATTAAAAACTACACAAACTGGTGAGACGACAGGCGACAGAAACTTTTATATGGAGCAATTCTGGAGCAAAGTGCTAAAATCAGAGCAATCAGTACATGCATTGCATTGGTATCTATAGCGATTGCTCTAGTTTGAGCATGATGCGTCAGAGTCACTCTGAGCTGACTACTAATCTGTTCCTGTTATTCACTAAACTGAGATTTCAAAGTCAATTTCAAATTTAAGGCCAGAGTAGCCGAGCTGAAAGCATAGCAGACTTTGAGAATTTCCAGTTTGTTTTTTGTTTTGTAAATCTGTTTTTATTGAAAAGTTTTTTCTCACAATCAATACATATAACAAGAAGATTTGCAGTATGGGACACGCAGGTCACGCAGGTCTATTGTATTAGTAGGACAATGGTATATCTGTGGTTTTTTTTTTAAATGTTTTTCATGACAGTATTAATACAGAGCAGTTGAACAATTTGAACAGCAAGGCGCGTAGGCCTCTTAGAGTGGTAGAAACAATTGATATTTTTATATAGTATGCATTGGACTCGCAGGTCTGTTCAAGTCAATCCTGTCATTTTTGAATCGTGTCCCATTGACCTATGTTAATGATAAGGTGTGAATATCCGTGAGTATGAAGCGGTTTTAAGGGGGGTTGATGCGTTCCTAGCGATTTGTGTGGGTGTGCCTGCTACGGGGTTTGTTTTTAAGTAGGTGTGATTGTTATTTCTCTTTTGTTACGTGTTTCGGTATAGTATTAACATAGAACCATTGAATATATCAAACATCGGGGCTCGCAGGCCTCCTGGGGTGTATATAACCGTTACCCTTTCTGTATACTGTGTAGTGGACTCGCAGGCCCATCGGAGATAATCATGCCATCAGTATGTTGCTTTTCTGTAACCCCAGTTGATGATTTGGTGTGTATGTCTAGGGGTGGGAGGTGGTGGTAGTGGGGGGTGGGGTATTTTCGTTGGCGTTTGTGGGTGTGGTTGGTTGTGATCTGTATGGTGTTTGCCATGTTATTACAGAGTATGTTTTTTATTGTGTCTGTTAGCTTTTGTAGTTTCTCGTTGTGTGTCTGTGAGATGTATATGCCGTCAGTTAGTGGGGAGTGTGGGTCTCTGATCGGGTTGGTATGGTTGGAGTCTTGGGGGTGTTCTTATAGGTTTTGGGGGTCTTTTAAGGTTTATTATAGTGTTTTCGTGTAGGGTGTGTCGTTTCACAGTGGGGCAGTTTGGCCTTTTTTTTACCTTAAATTTTAAATTTACTTTGAATTCTCCCTTTAGATGACCCCGTGTATATTAAAGAAGCCTCCTCACACACGTCCTGCATATTTAAAGGTTTAACAATAATCTCAGTGATTTATTAACGAACTGCCGATATTGCGTTTTACAGAAACAAGCTCCGCCTGTCGCAGAACGTCTCGGTGAATCAGAAGTTGACAAATTATGCAAAAAACAAGTTATTGCAGAAAAACGTAGAGAGCAAATAACGAAGCACCGGGAATGGGAAGAAGACAGGGCACAAAGTGCTGACCAAAAATACTGCGAAACTCAAGAGGTTCACAGGTGAAGGAGCTAATACTGCTCTTCTCTCAACTGGTGATAATAACTGGCACTTCATAGCGGGAGTAGTAGATATACAAAATACAAAATGTAGGGATCCAGCTGACATCACTAAAACAGATAAATAAAATTAAACATTGTATAATACGGTTATAGCCTCTGATAGCAAAACACGTAATGGCTGCACTCACAAATTTGATGTGATAAAGTTTTCAAGTTGCTTCCCCTGTAGTTATAGGGGGTATAGCCCATTCCTGGTGGTGGTCCCAATCTGGAAGCCAGGAATTTCAGGAACTCCAAGTGTATATTGAAGTACAAAATTATTTATTAGTATATATTAAAACAAATAAAAAAAAACAAGAACAGTCCTACGCATTTCGTCCTCCGTGGAGCACTTCCTCAGGGTCCTACGCGTTTCTGCTCTGTGGAGAACTTCCTCATGAGAGTAGTAGATACCTGGACTAGCCTTCCATTGGAAGCCATGAAGGGTAGTAGATACCTGGATTACCCTTCCAGTGGAAGCAGTAAAGGCTAACAGTGATATAGCAAGGGTAGAAGATACCTGGAATAGCCTTGCAGTGGGAGCGGTAAAAGCTAAAGGGTGACATAGAAAGGGTAGTAGATACCTGGCATAACCTTCCAGTGGAAGCAGATAATTTGGGATGTGTGTTAGAGGTGTTTAACAAAATATCCTGAATTGTTGCAGCTCAAGTATTATTGCGGTGAATTACCAGTTTACAGTAAATTGTGGAATAAGCATTTCTATGACACCATGGGGATTAATTTAACATTGGGCAGTTTATATATAATGCCTTGTGCAGGGTGTTGGATGGATGGCTGCTGTCCTAATACTCACTTTGTGTTTAAGGCACAAGACTTTGCAACGTCTGAAAAACGAGGACATGAAGGTGAAAGAGCAGGCAGCTAAGAAAACACAGAATATTACCGCCAAGAAAGCTGCGCGTGAGAGAAACAGTGTGCGCATGCAGACTATTGCAGCGGAAGATAAACTGAAGGAGCAGCGCAGACTCGATCACCTGCGGAGTGTGCGGGAAAAGATCGACCAGAGAGAATTCGATAAATGTGCAGCCAATGAACAGAAGGAGATAGAACACATGGTAAGATAACCTTTACACATAATGTAACCCCGTCTCCACTCCCTAGGGAAACAGGGATTTGAACCAGAGGTATGTGGAGTTTATTTACCGAATTGGGAACTGTAGAGAAAAATTTTAGGCAAAATAGTTGCGCTGGGAAAAAAATCTACAACTCCAGGATGTTAGGGAAGCAGAAAAAGTTCAGAGGTGGGTTACAACATTAATAAGGGGAATAGATTATTTAAATTATGAAGACAAAGTAAAAAATAATGTGACTGAGGATATGGTAACCTTTACACAATATATACATGGGCAATACAAACAGCTCTCTGGCAACCTGTTCATTAAAAGGACTGTACAATGGACAAGTGGTCACCCATTTAGACTTGCAGAGAAGAGATTTCACCTGCAGCATCATCAATTACACAGCACCAGCCAATTTCCGTGACAGCAGATAATTGGTCAACAATGTAGTGGCAACAGAAGAAATGGAGCGTGTTCATTCGACGGGGTTTTAAATGGCTCTGTTTTTTTTTTTTAGCCATTATTGCTCTCCTGTGTGGATTTTTTCCATAGGGTCAAAAATGTATATATTGTTTTTTTAGTGTTAGGCAGATTCTCCAGTAGTAGCACTTTGCCGAAGTAGTTATTTGTAAATTCAGTTTTTGTGCATTTCATGTGTAAACGCAGCCTAAATAAAACAAACAACTAATTAAATCGTTTTTTCTTCCAATCACAGGACGCACAGAGAATGAAAGTTAACAAACACTATAAAGAGGTGGCAGACAAAGTGTTTCAAACAGAAACAAAAAGGAAGAGTGGAAATCGCAAAGTCCAGTATATCGAGGATTAATGACCCGACTAGTGTGTGATTAATGGTCCATGCACCTCTCCCCAAGATTCCTGCCCCAACATCCACCTTTCTAAATTACGTGTTTTTATTTATATAGGTTTTATCTTTCATTTCATTAGCCCCAGTTCCATTGATTTCAAATAATTTTAAACATGGGGTATAATGGCCGGATCACAGGTGAGTTAATAAAAGCGAAGATGAATCAACAATTAGTCAGCGAGCTGGACTCTGGGCAAAACGATGAGACTCGTCTAGGTTTGGTCCTATTCGCTATCACTATACTAGAAGTGTGCCTCAGACCCTGGGCTATCACTATACTAGAAGAGCGCCTCAGACCCTGGTAGATCAGAATCCATCTCTAAATTAATTAATTCACGTGAGGTCATGTATACCACCACTTATCAATTATTTATAAAACATCAAACAGATACTACAGCGTTGTACAACAGCATGGAAATGCGCTATATACAGAAACAAAGGAGCTTGCAATCTATAGGACTGAACAAATTTATATTCTGTCTACAAATGTGTATACACCACTAGAAACGATCACAAATAAAATATTTTGGTTTGAAGATTTGTGTCGGTTTTGGATGCAAGGGGGAGTGGGGGTTAACTGTCTAAATCACAGACTTGTGGTAAATCTGAAATACAAAATGTAGCCTAAAATAGCCAAATTGTGATTAAATCATTTTTCCAAACCAGCTATTTTGACATCAATTTTACATTCATTAAAATTCTCTGTTTCAGCAAGTAAATCTCGTGGACCTTATTCACTGATGGTTAAGTAACAAGAGACTTGTGCACGTTAGGCATGAACAGGAAAATTATCAATTAATCTTTCTTCTCATTGCTCAATAAATCCCAGCTAGGAGTCAGAGAGATGGATACTTAGTGATCCTGCAGATCAGTCGCATGCAAACCATCTCCAGAAATGTCTCTAAAGGAATCACAAAGTGTGGCTCCAGCACTGATCACGGTCTGCAGATTACCATTTACATGAGATCTACTAAACCTCTCATTCAAAACCATGGCTGTGCCATACCAGGCTGCAACTCTCATCACTTTAACAGACATCCCAACATACCAAATATTATTTCATGGAGGTGGCCACCTAATTTCAAAGAGGCAGCTGTCAATATTGCTTCTCCTGGCTGGGGTCTGTATGCGCATGTGGTAGTGGACTCGCCGTACCGTTTGGGTGTTCCGGCTGCGGCTCGATTTCCCCAGTCTCTGGCTCCGGGCCTTAGCGAGAGCCCTCGCCTTGTGTCCATGGAGCCTTCCAGACACGGTAGTTGGCTCGGGGGCCCGCGGTTTCTACCTATCCCGGGTGTCCCCACGGGTGTATGGACGGCATGGGGTAAGCCCCTGATGGGCTCCTAGCCCAGAAGGATGCCGGGTAGTCAGGGCGGCAGCTTTGTATGCTTTTTTGATGGGCGATGCTGGTTTGGTTTTTGGTTTGGGTTTACAGACCTCTCTCTTGCGCTGGTAGGCCTGAGTTGCTCTGTTTGGGTTGTGGCTCGGTGGCCCTTTTGGTCATGCCATGCGTGTTGCTTTTACGCCTCTCGCTAATTTGTGGTGAGGCTGTCGGCTAATTTGTGGTGAGGCTGTCGGTTTCATTTTAGCCTTCAGCATGCGCCAGAAATTGTCGAAGAGTGCTTCCAGTCTTTGCCGGGTCCCATACTGTGGGGTCTGTAGGTTCGTGGGGGAAGCGTGGCATCCGCCATGTTGGGTGTAGCGTCTTGTGGAATTCTTCCCCACGCTTCTTTTCCCCACTGTTCCCGCTCCTTTCTCGATTTGTCTCTCAGGTGTGGACTGCGATCACCCCCGACGGTCCGGGGGGGGGGGGTAACATGGTTCCTGCTTGCGTTGTGTCTGCATTTCGTGGCACCGGACCGGGGGATCGTCCGCCTCTCCCGCTCTACGGTCGCCAGGCCTCATGGCGCAAGTCGGTCTGCCAGCCGGTTTCAGAGTGATCACAGGCTGCATGGTCGGTTTAGTGCCCTTTAGTGGGTCAGCTGAGACCATTTGGGTTTCCCTTTTTAAAAGCTTTTAGGGCTGAAAAGTCGTGTTTTGCCCTGTGTTCTGAGGAGCTCTGCAGTGGCACGTCTGTCTTTCATGCTGGTCAGGCCCCGCCCCACTCAACCAGGATTTATGACTAGAGTTGAGCGGACACCTGGATGTTCGGGTTCGCAGAGTTCGGCCGAACTTCTTCAAAAAGTTCGAGCTCGAACTTGACCCGAACTTGAAGTCAATGGGGACCCGACTTTTTGGGCATTAAAATGCCTCTAAAAAAGTCCTGGAAAGGGCTAGAGGGCTGCAAAAGGAAGTAAAATGGGGGTAAGAGTAGGACAAGTGCCCTGCAAACAAATGTGAATAGGGAAATAACTTAAAATAACATAAAAATACATAAAATTTTAAAAAATAATCTTGAACTAGGAGGAGGAGGTGGATGTGGAGTAGGAGGTTGAGGAGGCGGTGACCGTGGCGGTGTAGGTGGAAGCAGCGGTGGAGGAGGTAGCCAACACTGTTTTTTATTTCATTTATAATTGGGATAGCCCCCAAAATATTGGGACATATAAAAAAAGAAACATTTGCGGCCTGCAGTCCATTTCTTGCAGTCCAATAACGCCATCAGACACATGTCCGTCTCCACCAGACGGAATGACAGCAGTTCAAAGGCCAAGAATTTTGAAATACTGGCATTCAGGGCCAGGGATCGCAGGTGGGTAGGGGGGTACTTCCTCTTTCTCTCCAGTGTTTGGGAGATGGACAGCTGAACGCTTCCATGGGACAGTGTGGAGATGCTTGGTCATGCTCAGGTTGGCTCTGATTGCACAGCGTGCAAACCACTCGTGTCTTGTCATCAGCACATTGTCTGAAGAACTGCCACGCCAGGGAACTCCTTGGAGCTGGCTTTAGTGTGCTCGGTCCCTGGGTGCGGTGGGCAGTAGCAGGCGTACTGTCTAGGGGACGGCTTCTCCACTTTTGCACCCTGCTCTAGGAGGAGGAGGTGGGTGTGGAGTAGGAGGTTGAGGAGGCGGTGACCGTGGCGGTGTAGGTGGAAGCGGCAGTGGGTGGAGGTAGCCAACACTGATTTTATTTTTATTTTTTTTTATTGGGGTAGCCCCCAAAATATTGGGACATATAAAAAAAGAAAACAAAGAATAAGTGCACTTAAGTATAACAATGGCTGGGTGAGGCCGGTATAAATGTCTATTCTGCACAAGGTACAGACAAGTCTGGTGGGATCCATGCCTGGTTCATTTTAATAAACGTGAGCTTGTCCACATTGGCTGTGAACAGGCGGCTGTGCTTGTCTGTGATAACGCCCCCTGCCGTGCTAAACACACGTTCAGACAATACACTGGCTGCAGGGCAGGCCAGCACCTCCAAGGCATAAAGGGCAAGCTCAGGCCATGTGCCCAATTTGGAGACCCAGAAGTTGAATGGGGCAGACCCATCAGTCAGTACGTGTAGGCGTGTGCACACGTACTGTTCCACCATGTTGCTGAAATGCTGCCTCCTGCTAAGACGTTCCATATCAGCTGGTGGTGCTGGTTGTTGTGGCATGCTGACAAAGCTTTTCCACATTTCAGCCATGCTAACCCTGCCTTCTGAGGTGCTGGCGCTGCCCCAGCTGCATTGGCGACCTCTTCCTCTGCCTTCGCCTTGTGCTTCCACTGAACCCCCAGTGTCAGTTGGGAATGCCCTCAGCAGCACGTCTACCAGCGTGCGCTTGTAGTCGCGCATCTTCCGATCACGCTCCAGTGAGGGAATTAAGGACGGCACATTGTCCTTGTAACAGGGATCCAGCAGGGTGGCCCCAGTAATCAGCACAAGTTAGAATGTGGGCAACTCAGCAGTCGTTGCGCAGGCACTTTGGTGACTCTAGATAACCTCGGGCCGATCGCACGTCCCCGTGACGGCAACGACGTATTCGGATGTCTGCCCTATCAACTTTCAATGGTACTTTCTGCGCCTACCATGGTGACCACGGGTAACGTGGAATCAGGGTTCGATTCCAGAGAGGGAGTCTGAGAAACGGCTACCACATCCAAGGAAGGCAGCAGGCGCACAAATTACCCACTCCCGACACGGGGGGTAGTGACGAAAAATAACAATACAGGACTCTTTCGAGGTCCTGTAATTGGAATGAGTACACTTTAAATCCTTCAATGAGGTTCTATTGGAGGGGGAAATCTGGTGCAGAGTGACTGACCCGTGCGTGCTGCAGCTGAAACTCCACTATCGCCAGCTGCTGCTCGCACAGTCTCTCCGGCATGTGCAAGGTGGAGTTCCACCTTGTGGGCAAGACGCATATGAGGCGGTGAGCGGGAAGGCCGAAGTTACACTGCAGCGCAGACAGGTGAGCAGCAGCAGGGTGAGAACGCCGAAAGCACGCACAGCCACTACAGTGAAACTGCGAATGGCTCATTAAATCAGTTATCGTTCCTTTGATCGCTCCATCTGTTACTTGGATAACTGTGGTAATTTTAGAGCTAATACATGCCGACGAGCGCTAGGTGACGGCCGCTCCGCTTTTGCACCCTGCTCCCTCTTATGCTGATGTAGTAAATTCGAATCAAAGTTCCATTTGCAAAAAAAAAAAATCCTCGCCCATCTTCTGTGGGTTATTGCATTTTTAAGATGTAGACTTATTGTATCACACTAACCATGCACAGGTAGATTGTCTGGCACGTTGTTTTGGGGTTTGGTTTTTAACTTTGTAGTTGTGTCTTTACACAATATAGAAATGTATATTAATGCTTCTGTATATGAAGCGATCACAATAACACTTATTTTTCACTTTTTTTTAAAAAAATCAGGCTAACAAAAATTGGTAATTAACAATATGACATCTGAAAAGCACATGAAAGGATGCTGTATGATTTAAAAAAAAAGAACATACTACATGAAGGTCCTGTTCACTAGAGTGTGTAGTCATGAATGTAACCAGTAAAACTTTGTTTTTACAGCCACTGGTTGGCCCATACATATTTTAGAACTTTTTAAATTTTGTTATAGCATGACTTGTAGTCTTGTTTTTAACTTGTCTATAATACATATTTTTGTATGACACTTAGTGTGTTTTTTCATTGACTATTGAATTTTAATGGTCTAAGATAATTAACATGTCAACAGGCAAACGTAACCCAAATGATTTGTCTCAGTCTTGCCTTCTATACTACCTGCACCATAGGCAACATTTATTTGTCTTTAGACTTTCTTGAGAAACGGTAACTAGCCAGTGTTGCACACATACACCAGATATGAAGTGCACACCCCAAATGTACTATTTAGCAACCCAAAAATTTTAATTGGTCAAACTGCGATGTAACCACAATATTTGACGGTTCTATTTGACTCTCAGATATGAAGTGCACCGCAGGCCGCAAATGTACTATTTAGCACAAAAAAAAAAAGTGATTTTTTTAAACCAACAATGTAACTGTAGTATTTAAGGGTTTTATTAGACTGCAAGAAATGCAGTATGCAAATATACTATTTAGCACCAAAAAAATTGCAGTATTTAAAAATGCCTGGATGTTGCCCACTGAGCTACCAGAACAGGATTAAAGTAATGTGCCTGGCAAACATGCAGTTGCAAGTGCACTGCACTCTCTGTGGCACTGGGCTCAGGGCAGGGTACAAAAATGTAGTATAGCACCTACTAAAATAATCGCTGTAGTTTACAGATTCAACACCAGAATTATTTCCTAATATGTCCCTCACAGCTGCAGCATCCTCTCCCTACACTAATAACAGTTCATGTGACGTGCGGCGCTACGTGACTCCAGCTTATATATAGAGGCTGGGTCACATGCTGCACTGGCCAATCACAGCCATGCCATTAGTAGGCATGGCTGTGATGGCTTCTAAGGGCACACGTGTCAAACGCTTGTTGATTGGCTGCCCTGCAGCCTTTCAAAATGCGCCATTAAATTGCCAAATACCAAACTCCAACCCGAACATACACTGAAATGTCCGTGTTCGGGTCCGGGGTCCAAAAACCGTAATGTTCGGTACGAACCTGAACTTTACAGTTCGGGTTCGCTCAACTCTATTTATCAGCAGAATGGCTAATGTTAGAGTAAGACACGTAAACTGCAGACAGACTGCGAGAATTTTACCAGTTTGGTAATTTTGGAAATCTATTCACTAAAGCTGGAATTCAAAGTGAATTTTAAATCTGAGGACAGAGTAGCTGAACTGAAAAGAGCTGATTTAGAGAATTTTTCCAGATCGGCTATTTTGGCCTTACATTTGGAATTCACTTTTAATTCACCTTGAATTCTCACTTTAATGAATAATCCTATTTGTCAGATCTGCACAATTCTAAAAAAATGTGGCTAAAATAGAGGGTTTTGCAGCATTCACCCAACTCTGCAATAGTCACAGCTGGACAATTTGAATTTTAACTCAATTTTTGATTTAGAGTAGTAGAGTAGAGTAGTACACATTCAAATTAATTTTATCAGGAGAAAATTAGTAGATGTGCAGCAAAAAAAAATTGAGATTCTGTGACAAAAGATTTGCAAAACTTACATCAAAAATATAAAATCTTTATTAAAAATGACACAAAAACAAGACAGACTGATTGCCTGGAATATCCCAGTTTCTTATAATAAATCCTTACAAGACCCAACAGAACATTGCACATTTTATCCACAGAGAATGTCACAAGATCCCGCTAGACGCACGTTAATTTACTGTCCAATCACAATCTGGCATCGAGTCTCTGAAGCTCTCATTGCGTCACAGGGCGGCTGAACGATTGCCCAGAGTGTAAACTTGGTGCTGCCCTTCATGTTATACATAAAACGTACTCAATAATACAAATTAATCCAAATGTATTCATTAAACCAATGTGAGGGCAGCGTAGGAAGCCAGTGTTAAAACTGAAGAATTTTTTTTTTAAAAATCTTTAAACTCTGCCAACCCTTCTGTATTAGGGCAGAGGTATGTTTGCTGCTAGTAAATAATAATTATACTATTTTTACGAGCACAACCTCTACATACCTCCATCTGACTGATCTCACAATACGAATGATGGATGCCATATTGCTTTTAATAAGAATTGTGAAAATATGAATGATTTTAAAACCTAGAGAAATTGTATGATTGGTCTGTGCTTTGTGCCAAATCCAGAGCAGTATCTTCAGAAGGGTTAGTGGGCATTTCACTTAAAAAATCAACCCTCCTCCGCCAACACAAAGGGAGCGTGAGTGGGCATGGATAAATACCAGCCAACCCAGCCTTACCCCTTCTGACTCATACTGCCCCTACAAACCTATTCATTTAACACCATGTTCTATGTTTCAGTAAGTGCTTGTGCTGTAATTAGGCATTTTTATAGGAAACATGTATACATCTCGGAACAATGAATAAAAATCCTGATATAAAGTGCACTTCAGTGACGAGGAGTATATTTCACTTAATTTTTACATGATTGTCAACTGTGTACGGCAGAAGTTACAAAAGAAAGCATATAAATTAAGTACATTTCATCTGTCAGAATATAAAAAATATTTAGCTACAGCGCAGTACAGATCTAGCTAGCTAGTTCATCGGATTCTAAACTTTAACCCCTTAAGGACCAAACTTCTGGAATAAAAGGGAATCATGGCATGTCAGACACGTCATGTGTCCTTAAGGGGTTAAAGGAACGCTATAAGAGACCTGCTTATGATGCTTCTCATAGAGAGCATGTCAAACCGCGAGGAAGAAAACCCTATGGGCTGTATGCTTGCTACAAAGAGGACTGAGAAAAGTGCAGATTTCTCTTGAATATTATATTAACAGTTAACCCCTAAAGCACTTCAGCAAGCATAAGTGGGACTAGAGTGTCTCTTAAAGAGCCATTTTTGCCATGCCCCTGAGATTGTCACGCCCATGAAACCACCGCTGTTCACATTACATTAACGACCAGTGTCTATTTTTAAAGCTTTGTTTACAATAAATCAGAAGTTAAAGGTTAGATCCACGCTGTGTCCTGGTGGAATGTTTACAATGTGAGTCTGTCTCTCAGAATCGTAAGAACCTCCTGAGATACGGTACGTTCCAGGTGCAACTTCGATATTGACATCTCGAGGGGTCATATGCCGTCGAACAGACTGGGGGGTACCCGCTGCCAAATTCTGCAAAATAAGACATTTATCAGCCACACGGTGTACACAGGCGAGTGCTCCATCTAGTGGACAGATTACTCAACAGCAGCATTAGCAGTTTGTGATTAGAAAGGTATTCAGTCAGTAACAGGAATAGGCAAAGTACAGGCAGCGTCTCCTTTAACTATAACCACAACACAAAACTACAGTCAGCGTCTCCTATAACTATAACCACAACATAAAACTACAGTCAGCGTCTCCTATAACTACAGGCAGCCAACATGGTCCTTCATACGACAAGGAATATAACAAAACCCACGTAAATATTATTTAATCAACAGATTTTGTTTCAGAAGGTAGAGAACGATACACTTTATAGTCGGCAAAATTTCAAAGGAAACACATGAAAAACCTTTTTTTGTGTTATTTTCTTTTGTTAAAGATTTTTGTCCTTATTTTGACATCTTTTTTTCCCCTCAGTTATCCTTATGGATCTAGCTTTGTAATAACAATGTAGTGTTTTCTGAATATTACTAATTTGAGGATTTGAAGGGACACTATATATTTAACCAGCTTAGATAAAGCTTCATAAAGGCTTTTAGGAGCCAAAACGTTGCTGCTCATTATCCATATTATTATTTCTTATTGCTTAAAGGGAAACTGTAAGCACCAAAACAACTTTAGCTAAACTAAGTGGATTGGCTGTATAGATCATGGCCCTGCAGTCTCACTACTCAATTCTCTGCCATTTGGGAGTTTAATCACTTTGTTTATACAGCCCTAGTGACACCTCCCTGCATGCGACTTGCACATCCTTCCTAAACACTTCCTGTAAAGTGAGATCTAAATTATAAACTTCCTGTATTTCAAATTCTGTTTAATTTAAAAAAAAATATATATAAATACATTTCTCCAGCTCTGTTAATAGCCTGCCAGACCATGCAGCAGCCTCTTGATTGTGATTAAAGTTCAATTAATAGAGCAGGAGATAAAACATCTAAAGTAAACACACTATGCTGGCAGATCTGAAAATGAAACCTTTTTTTTCATGCAGTTTATGCCAGTCATAGCAAGGGGAGATGTGGCTAGGGCTGCATAAACAGAAACAGAAATCCTTAATGTCAGAGAACGGAGGAGCATGATCTATACACAAAAACTGCTTCATTAAAGGGACTCTCCAGTGCCAGGAAAACTGCAGGGTTCCTGCAGTGCCCCTCTCCCTCCCACCCCCCATCCCATGTTGCTGAAGGGGTTAAAACCACTTCAGTGACTTACCTGAATCCAGCGCTGATGTCCCTCGGCGCTGGGACAGGCTCCGCCCACGCATTAGACCTCCCCATAGGAAAGCATTATTCAACGCTTTCTTATGGGGATTCCGGCAACGCTGGAGGTCTTCATGCATAGTGTGAGGACGTCCAGCGTCGTTTAAAACACTTTTCAGGATTTAAGAACCCGGAAGTCCCTCTAGTGGCTGTCTGAGAGACAGCCACTAGAGGAGGATTTAACCCTGCAAGGTAATTATTGCAGTTTATAAAAAACTGCAATAATTACACTTGCAGTGTTAAGGGTGGTAGGAGTTGGCACCCAGACCACTCCAATGGGCAGAGGTGGTCTGGGTGCCTGGACTGTCCATTTAAGCTAAAGTTGTTATGGTGCTTAAAAATGTCTCTTTAAAATTGATATTTTCATTTTGACATGAAACCTTCAATTAACAACAAAAGTTTGGTTATAAATAGGCTTTATACAAAAGGGGCAATTCAAATTAAATTAAATTAAAAATAAAATAAATAAAATCTAAAAGACAAAGGCTCAAAAACAACAGAAACAACAGAAAGTGCTGGAAACATGATTACAAAAATAGATACATTAAATTCTGCCAATTCCTATTTTACTATATAACGCTCCTGGCATTAAACAGTCATTGTATCGGCCCGACCATCCACAGTGGACAGAGACGCCGCT